CAGAACCCACGGGTTTCGGCCCACCGCTGTGGGTAGGGCCGCGCATGTGCTCATGCGTGCGTTTAACTACGACATGTCATCTAAGGGCCATCGAAGTTGCGGTGCGGACCGAGACCCCTATGGCCGTCGACTGTGTTTTAGCTAATCGGTAGCTGGGAGCGGTGAGAACCGCCTTGTACCTTGTGTACGCGTTGTGTTGGTCTCGCCGTGCTCGGAGGCGAGGGCGATCTAGTGTGTTTGTTGTTGCACTAACTGTGGGTGTAGTGTTATCCGGCAGGACCCCCGGCGGTGGGTCCGGCGTATCTAAGTCCCCTTCCTCGACCGGGTCGATTAGGACGTTTCGCGGGCGACGCTTGTTGACGTTCGCGTTTGTGTCGGGTTGGTAATTTGCTGCGCTTACCACCAGAGGGTTGGGATGATGTTCGGCTCTATCGAAGAACCGTTTGGTCAGGTCTTTAAAATATTCGCAAATCTGCAGTCTGCAATCTCTGTGCAGGTCGACGTTGCGTTGATACCACTGCGCACCGGTTGCGCGGCGGATGAACTTATTTTGTACTATTTGCAACTTGTACAAGCGAGTAGAGTGCGTGTGGGCGAAGATCATGCATGCGTAGGACATAATAGGTTGTACGCAGGTCTTATATAATAATACTTTGTGCCTTAAGGTGATTTTACTTTTAGCGTTAGTTAAATTGTGTAGCCGGCCGGAGACGAACGCGGCTCTATTGCGAACGTTATTAATGTGCGTATTAAATGACATCCAATCCAATCCAATCAGCCTTTTGCAGTCCACTGCTGGACATAGGCCTCCCCAAGAGTGCACCACAGAGTACGATCTTCCGCTTTCCTCATCCAGCCACTACCAGCGACCTTTCCCAGGTCATCGGTCCACCTGTCAGGGGGACGTCCGACACTACGTTTTCCGAGACGTGGTCTCCATTCGAGAACCCGTCTGCTCCAGCGCTCATCGGTTCTACGACAGATGTGGCCAGCCCACTGCCACTTCAGCTTGCTACACTTACGGACTATATCGACAACTTTGGTCCTCTGCCGGATAATTTCGTTTCGGATTTTATCCCTTAGCGAAATACCGAGCATAGATCTTTCCATAGCTCTCTGAGCGACATGTAATCGGTAGGCCAGCCTCACCGTCATGTTCCACGTCTCGGTCCCGTATGTCATGACTGGCACGCACTGATTGTAGACCCTGCTTTTTAGGCATTGTGGTAGTGGCGATGAGAAGATATGACGCAGATTTCCAAATGCTGCCTAGCCCAGCTGCACTCTTCTAGCGATTTCACGCTCAAAGTTGTCTCTACCTAACTGCAATGTCTGCCCGAGGTAAACATACTCTTGGACAACTTCGAGCGCTTCACCGTTGATTGAAATCGTCTATGGACTTATAAGCTCGTTGAACATGACCTTAGTCTTTTCCATGACATACGCGAGTCGAAAGTGACTTCTAAGTATTTGACCTTTTTCTCCCAGGGAAGCGGTTGACCATAAAGGGATATTTGCCCCAACTTTCTGCATTGACGAGGGCCATTATAAAGATGTGACGGGTAAGTACTTCGTGTGAAGTGAATCGCCACACTCTTTTCGGGATTTATTTCTATTCTCCATTTACGGAACCATTCGCCGAGGCGGTCGGCGGCGCTTTGGAGTCGAGTGATTAGTTGTCTAAGGTTGCGGTCTGAATAAAAGAGCGCCGCCGCTTCATCATTCATTGTCATCCGCGAAACGCGCGAGATTGACGTGGTGGTCTTTAGGTATATCGCACGTGTAGAGCGTAAAGAGCAAAGGCAGGAGACTTGTGGTACGCCGGCCGTGAGGCGGTGGCTTGTGGAGAGGGTGGCTTCAACTCGATATCGAAAAGAGCGGTTCGACAGGAAGGCCCGGATGGTGTGTACTAGTCTATCTGGCACATTGAGTGTGTACAGCTTGTAAAGCAAGCCGTTGTGCCAAACCTTGTCGAATGCTTTTGCGACATCGAAGAAAAGAGCCCCTGTACTAATATATTTAGGGTGATAAAGGCCTTTTAGGATAGGTTCCGTTAGGCGGAATAGTTGATCGGGACAGGAATGTCTAGCTCGAAAGCCGAATTGTTCCACCGGCAGAAGGCCGTTTAAATAAATATTAAATAAAAATATCTTTATTCACATAGACGCTTGCGCGTTCTTATGAAACGTCAAAATTTTACAAGAAATGAACACGTTCGTAAGTTACCACCGGTTCGGAAAGCAGTTTCTGTTGAGAAGAAACCGGCAAGAAACTCAACAGTTGCTCTTTTTAAAAAAAAAAATCAGTTTACAATATAATAGTACATGTACAATAGTCTTGTTTTAGCCTACGTGAGTATCAACAGTATTAACCCCACACATTGGCGTCGTCAAGATATTCAGCAATAGAATAATAGGCTTTAGCCATAAGTTTACTTTTAATTTTTCGTTTAAATTCATCAAGTGGCAGACTTAATATCGACTGTGGGATTTTATTATACATGCGCACACCTTGCCCCATGAACGACCTGTTTACTTTTTGTAAACGAAACAATGGCGTAGTTAGTTTGTCCTTATTTCTAGTATTTAGTTTATGTCTGTCACTATTCTTTAGATAACTATTAATATTATTTTTAACATACAAAATGTTACAATAAATATATTGAGACGCAACAGTGAGTATATTAATCTCTTTAAAAAGGTCTCTGAGTGTATTCCGGGCTCCGATGTTATAGATTGCTCGGACAGCTCTTTTTTGAAGAATAAATATAGAATTTATATCAGATGCACTACCCCCACAACAAAATGCCGTAAGACAAGATGCTGTGGAAATAACTGAAATAAACAAGTCTGGCAGTGTCGATGTCTGATAGCTGCCTAACCTTCCTAACTGCAAAAAAACAGCGGAGCTTAACCTGTTCGCAAGAGATGATAGATGGGGACTCCATTGGAGCTTTGAATCCACTGTAATTCCCAAGAATACAGCGGACTCAACAGGATTAAGGGTTACGCTATTTAATGTTAAGCTAAAACTTCGCCTTCTTACGCTGGGAAGGGTAAAAAGAAGGCATTTAGTTTTTTTAGCATTTAACACCATATTATTAACGGTAAACCAGTGGAGGATACGCGAAAGTGCACTATTCACGTCGTCATAATCCGACACGTTTCGGTCAACCTTAAAAATGAGCGATGTGTCGTCAGCAAACAGTACAATATCACATAACTCACTGGCATAACTCACTGGCGTTGGAAAACACTTGCTCATTGAGCCTGTTTAATAACAGCCGCTCGTAGAGCTTCCCCAGGCAACTGAGGAGGTTGATGGGACGATAACTAGAGGGCTGGTTGGCTGGTTTATTCGGCTTGCGAATGCCGATAACCGTGGCTTCTTTCCAGTCCTCCGGAAAGGAGCAACTGGAGAGTAAAGTATTGTAAATGGTCCCGTAAACAGATAAGCGGCCCAGGGAGAGCTTTAAGAATTTTGTTACTAATATTATCTGGGCCCGGGGCGGGTTTTAAGTTTTTAATAATTTCTTGGACCTCTTCGGGGGTCACTGAACTCAAAGGATCGCCTTCCGGTGGAAGCGCAGCCATAATCTCGATTACGTGGTCCATCTCCGTTAGGTAGGCTGTATCGATCTGTTCGCGCTATGGCGTACATTGCCGCTCTAGGTTTTCCGCAAGGCATTCGGCTTTTTCGGAGTCATCTAGGGCTACTGAAGCGCTATTAGGTCTAACTAACGGCGATAGAGATTCTCGGGGGTCTGCTTTCAGACTGCGGGCCGCCAGTAGACGGTGTGCGATGGCTCGATGTCCTCTAGGAAAGTGTCCCGATTTATATGTCGGTGAATTTCAACTTGCTAGGTCTACCCGTGCCTGAGAAAATCGGTGGTGACTCACGGACAGACAAACGGACGAGAGAGCGATCTTATATGGGTTCTTTTTTACCTTTTGAGGCACAGAACACTAAATAAAGTCGCACAGTACATATTATGGCTCTGAGAGTTACCCAATATGATGAGAAAGGCTACGAACACTTGGTTGTTGTCTGGATGGGTCAGTAAAAGATTCAATGTGAAATCCACGAGGGCGTAACACATATCAATGACCCATCATAATTATACAGAAATAATTTCGCCTGTAGCTAAGAGAATGAATGAATGTGAAGTTAATGAATGTTCTAACATAAGTGATTTACTTGGTACTAAACTTTCATCTTTTAGATTTTTTATTTAAATTTTTATTAGAATAGGTTTTGAAAAATCACGTCACTTCTGTAGTTGTCTATGTTAAATACAAATTTTACAGAAAATTTATTTTTTGTTATAAGTATTTTTAATGTAAGCATTGGCTAATCTAAAATAAAAAATGGAACAAAAATGCATCGGTTAAACACTGGTTAACTATTATAACTAGCTTTGTTCTTTCTTTATAGTATTAAAACCTTCCGTGGACATTAGGGAACATACAACGAATAAATTAGGCGAATTGTTCCACCCATTCTTGATTTATGCGATTACCAACATTCATTTCTATTTATTAAGATACCTTTATTTTTAAATTTAAATCCATGATATACACATATTAATAACAAAGAAACAGTTGAATACAGTTGAATGACACCTACAGATAGTTTTCCAATGTCGTGGTCATGATGTAGTTATCTATGATTCCTTCTTGTCTTTTCTTATATTTATATAATCTGTACATACAGAGCTGATGTGAACTTTCTGACCTGAAGTCTTAAGTTACAAAACACTTGGTTTAATTTTTTTTTTGCAATGTAAAGCCTCTAATTATTTATTCAGACAATTTTCTAACCGTTCAATTTATTTTTACTCTTATCGAGATTAGTTATCATTACATCATTAATGTTAAGTGTACTAGTCATTTGAAAATTGTGATATTGAGATAGTAATGGCTTATCATAGTCATTTACTGCTATTTTTTATTTTTACTTTTATTTGTGTAAGTGCTGAAGATGAAGGTACCACCACACCGATGACAAAGGCGGAGAGACTTCAGTTAAGGTAAATTCTTACGTTAATTTTTGTCACTTTCATTTTCTTAATATCAGGGTCAATGAATGAATAGAAATCAGTTTCCAATTCCCAGTTTTACTTAAATATCTACATTAAATGGACATATTTTGATTGTGTAATGGGTATTTTATATATTTTGTTACACTTTTTAAATATTTCTGTGTCATATACATTTTATTTGTCTGAAAACAGCTAAAAACTTAACCTAATTAAAGTACTGATAAATATTACTACTTTTAACAATCTATGTTATATATTTAGAAGACATCCATAAAAATGTCTTTTGTCTCTTTTCTAATCAAATGGTCCGGGTACGTCCAGGTCCAATTCAATTTTACTAGTACATACATATTAATTTGGTTTGGACTATACAAATACATTTATAGAACAGTCTTTTATATTAGATTAAAGTACTAACATATTTATAAGGGCTACATTATTTAAAAGAGCGACATGAAAGGAAATAATTGAATCCTAAAATAAGATACAGCACTATCAGAAAACATCAAACTGGCAAGATGGTATAAAAAATAAAACATAATGGAAATGATATTCACATACAATTAGAGTGGAACATAAATAGAGTAAAATTGAGTAGAGAATGAGTATAAACGAAGGCTTCCTCAAGAAAAGGGAATAGAAGAGACAATACAATGGATGAACTGATGGTATAATGACATAGTGCCAACAGTTTTAAAAATGTAATGATCTGTATAAGACAGGGGTAGTTGGTGGAGTTGTTTACCGAAAGTACCACAAAATCAAGAATAACTTAACAAAAATGCACAGAAAGTAAGGCCTTCAACCTTTATTAATAGAGTATATACACTCAACACTCATTTTTCCTTTTCAGCAAATGACTAAATGTTAACGTAGCTTTCTTACAAATTTATTTATTTTTTTAATAATTTATTTTTTTCAATCTGAGATTTTGCATAACAAAAGATGTCGAATGCAGTATTGTTATCCGCATGGCAATGAATGTTGCAAATATGCAATAAATTATTGATATGCAGAAGAATAGGATATGGGACAAGACAAAGCCTTATGGGTCACCATCATTCATGAATTAAGTGTCAGAGGAGGTATCATTAACAACGATCTTGATGTTTTGCCGAGTAAGAAAACTAGGAACATTAGTTGCATAATTTTCTGAAAAGCCGGATGAAGTGATCTTGGAAAGAAGTGATTTGTGCCTAACCCGTTCGAAGACTTTTGCTAAGTCCAAACAAATCGCCAAAACCACTATACACTATTAGATCACCAGCTGAGCGATCGCCAACGGAACGTGTACTGATGGTCGTTAATCAGCTCGTACTACTCAAGACCCCCTTTTTTGACGTGTGGTAAATGCCAACGTATACCCACCTTTAGGGGTCTATGTCGGAGTAAAAGTCATTGCCCAAATTCCCCTGATGTTCCATCCAGGTCAAATATTAGCAAGGTTACGGGGACGTTTGCGCTAACTTCCGCAACCCCGACAGTGTTGGTCGCCTAAGCAGCCCCTTTAGAGGGAGCAGCCTTCCGACCCCGCTGCGCAGAGGTATTAGGAGCTGGGAGAGCCACTGCAAACAAACAGCAAGCCTCCCGGCCACGTGGTGGCTGCGGTATGTTGTTCACCCGATCACCATGTCTCAATCGCAGAGGGTAGGGAACCCCCACTCCCACCGCCTTACCAACGTTTCATCAATGGTGCAGCCCGATGAGTCGTGGAGGATAGGGAGAGTGGCCAATCGCAATACCAGCACTCCTCTTCCTCCGGTATTCTATCGTGGTTGCATATCTATTGGGCAAGCTCCGACCATGGGTCCCTCCACTGACGGAGACCCTCTTCGCTCTTCCCCCTAACCCAGGAAAACCCTAAGCATAATTATGAATGAGACCGATTGGTCTGATGGATCGGGAGTCACTCAGGAGGAAATGGACTAGACCATCAAACGGGGTTCGACGTCGTAACACCGCACCAGGCCCTGATGGTATTCATGGTCGGGTGTGGGTGCTAGCTCTCGCCGCCGAACTGAGAGAGAGACGGAGGCGACTCTTCAAAGTCTGTCTCAGAGCCGGTGTTTTTCCCTCACGGTGGAAGGAGGCCAAATTGGTGCTATTGAAGATGGTAGGACTGCTGACGCTCCCTCTGCCTTCCGACCCATTTGTTTGCTGGATGAGGCGGGAAAACTATTTGAAAGAATTATTGTCGACCGCCTCAAAATGCACCTGCGTCAGGGAGGCCCCGACTTATCAGATGATAGCCCGTATGGTTTTAGGCAGGGTCTGTCAACTGTGGACGGCGTCCGAGACCAGTCGCAGAGGGCTGTTACCCAGGGTGGTGTGGCATTGGCGGTCAGCTAGATATAGTCAATGCCTTCAATTCATTACCCTGGCGTACAATCAGAGAAGCACTGACCTACCATCAGATACCCCCCTATCTGCAGCGTATTATCGGGGCGTATATTGCTTGCACGGCAGGTGCATTCAGTACGTGGGTCGGGACGCGTTAGTCCATTATAGGGAGGTGAATTCCACAGGGGTCCGTTTTAGGGCCATTACTTTGGAACCTCGCATATGACGCTGTCCTACGGACTGTTCTCCCCGTCAGTGTAAGTGTTATCTGCTATGCGGACGACACTAGTATTTGCCGACGGGGGTAGCTTGGGGTGGCTTGCGTTGTGGGCAAAATCCATGAGCTGGGTCTTCGGACAGCGATTCATAAGACCGAGGCGCTTTTGTTCCACAAACTTCCTAGAGAAAGAGATCCACCCGCTGGTCGGTTCGCGTGGGTGACGTGCAGATTCTGGTGAGACCAGTGATGAAATATCTTGGTCACTCTGGATAGTCGCTGGGGCTTCGAAGAGCACTTCAACCGCTTGGCCCCCACTATAGAGAAGGTAGTAGGTGCTTCGCACAAATTACTGCCTAATCTTGGGGGCCCCTAGGGAAGGAGTTCGCCGCCTCTATGCGGGGGTCTTGCGATCGATGGCCCTCTACGGTGCGCCCGTATGGTCCCACCGGCTAACGGGCGTCCGACGCTGCACAGCTAATCTTTATAGCCTGCAGCGGAGAGCGGCCATCAGAATCGCACGAGGTTATCGAACGATATCCTTTGAGGCGGCCACTATCCTAGCTCGGTTTCCACCACTGCACATACTGGCGGAGATAGATGCGCGAGCTTATACTCGCCTTCGGCTACCCCAGGGTGATACCGAGCCCCTGGATGCGGCAGAGGTGCGGAAGCAGGAGCGTACAAGGGGGTTTGAGATTTGGCGGGAGCGCTTGGGTGAACCTCAGAACTCGCGCCAACAGATTGTCCTGCCAAGCTTCGAAGCCTGGCTTAGTGCGAGGGGATTTGCGCACGTTACCTTTCGTATGACGCAGGTACTCACCGAGCACGGATGCTAACGTACTTACCGACAAAGCAATGCCACCACTGTGGTGGAGACCGGGATTCCGCGCAGCATACGCTTGCCGAGTGCGTCGCGTGGGAGTCAGAGCGTCGGATCCTGGTCCAAAAGATCGGGCAGGGCCTATCTCCACCAGTTGTAGTGGCGGCTGCGCTAGTGGAGAAATCCGCTTGGATGGCACTGGTCTCCTTCAGCGAAGCTGTTATGCTCCAGAAGGAGACCGCTGAGCGGGAACGGGAGAGGGCCGACCCCGCTGGGAAACGCAGACGAGCCGCCCCGTCAGCCCTGTAGTCTCGGGCTCGTAGAATAGAGCTAAGGTATCCCCTGCCTGTCGTAAAAGGCGACTAAAAGAGGACTCGGATTGGCAGCACCACGAAGTGGTCTTGTGCTGCTGGAAAACGGCGAGGGAATCGGGGAAGGTTTAGCCTTCTCCGAGGTGTGCTCACGCGCAGTACTGAGGGACACCGGTGCGTTCCGTAGGAGATCCCGAAGTCCCTCCAAAGGTACAGAAGATGGCCACAGAGGGGTTTTAAGTGGGTAAGAACCCCTCATGTCATGTCATGACAGGGTATCTTTTGAAGATTTCCCCCCCCGATACCAAAAAAAAATCGGTCCAGCCGTTCACGCGTGATGGACAAACAGCCAGATGCAAAAAAACTATCTGTGGGTCGCACAAATAGTGATCGAATCCACGACCCCCGACGCCGAAACAATACTTGGCAATGGCACCACGGAGTCCATCATTAATGAAAAAAAATATAGCGACCGATTTCGCTAATTCTTTTTATATAATATTTCTTGAAGTAGGAAGATGGTTCTTACGGAGAGAAAAATTTAAAAAATTGCCTAAAAAAGTTTAAAAACATCACTTCTATATTCCCGTACAAAAGATTCGTAATAATAAAAGTCAATTTGAACTTTAATACCATACCATAAAGTTTAAGTGTTAGTGGAGGGGTTCCGGGAAGGCAAAACAAGTGAGTGACTGTGGTAAAATGTCACTTGAAATGTAACCGTCTCTTTGATGTGCATCACTACATAGTATAAAACAAAGTCGTCCCGCTGTCTGTCTGTCCCTATATACGCTTACATCTTTAAAACTATGCAACGGATCTTGATGCGTTTTTTTTACTAAAAACAGTGATTCAAGAGGAAGGTTTATATATATACAATACATTGCACCCGTGCGAAGCCGGAGCGGGTCGCTAGTAATTAGTAAAAATTCTTGAAATTAGAAATTAAAACGTAAACCATCGCCTCGAGGCATCGAAGTTCTCGTCGTGGAGGAGATTCCTACTAACCAAGAATGCGTGGTACAACACGACAGTACAATACCAAATATATACTGTCAATATGGAGATCTATACTGACCCCGCTTTATGAGATCAACAATCAACTTTTGTTATATGACTTTCTTCTTCACTTCCTCCTTACTTAAGACCTCGGTGCCTATTGATGGTTCATTCAATATACATGCCTTATTAACTTTTCATTGCATGCGCAGTAAACGTTCAAAAATACATTTTGTAAACCGAACGAACGAAATACCCGTTTATGGAAAAATAGTCAGTTATTTATTTTTCTAGATTCCTTTCTTGTGTCTCTTTGTTCCAACGATTTTCCAAGCTTCAATAAGCCATCCAAAAATATTATATCTGGAATCAATTAAAATAGGCCTCTGTGGCGTGGACTTTTTAAGATATTTCCATTTCGACTATACTTTTACTAGTACACTGTATATGTATACTGTCATTAGAATGTTATAACATTTGACTCCAAACCACCCGCACTTGTCTACTTTGTCATTTTTACATTTTTACAATCACACTTCATAATGAAAATTTACTGAAAATTATTTTCTAATTTTCGGTTCGGCTATCTACAAAAGCGAGTTTTTAACGTTTTTTTTTTTTAATTTTTTTAAGTATTATATATGTTTTAACGAAACGAATAGTAATGATAAAAATATCATAGAGATCTCAATTAGCGCCTAAATAGCAGTTCTTACTATATTATGCAACGGCGCGCGTCTCTGGGTGCGCTCATAAATTTAATTTCAATTGCGTTCCTTTATGTTTCGGCCAGAGGAATTCATACAATCGTTCAAATTAATTTCATAATTAATTTGAACGATTGTATAAATTCCTCTGACGTCATCGTCATGCCACAAAAATTGAAAGAAATAATTTGAAAGTAGTTTGAACTATGTAAACAATTGATGATTTATCCTATTACGTCGACGTGTCTAAATAATAAGAAACTTTCTAGGGAGGAGGCCAGGCGAATGTTCTACCATGCCTACGACGCGTACATGGACAAGGCCTATCCCGCCGATGAGCTGATGCCGCTCAGCTGCAAGGGCAGGTGGAGGGGGGTCACGCCCAGCCGCGGTGACATGGACGACGTACTCGGAAAGTGAGTGAATAATATAATACGTATATATGAAATGATGCCTTTGCGATCGATGGAGGGCACAATCTGCCTTCTTGTAAATGGAACGAAGTTGAAACATTATTGTTTCAAGAAAATATTCTTTGTTAGCACCGCCTGTCTACGCTTGGGCTTGTATCTTTGAAAGCAACCCAAGAACGCCCATGCGCTCCTGGCGAGTGTGTCGCGCTGAACGCTTCTAGAACATTCGACCCGGTGCGATTATGAACGGTGCGTCGATCCTTATCGCCGTCGTATCGCCGTGGACGGAATATATTCAATTAATGCGGAGCGCTTATCGTCGCCCTCGCCAATTAACACATGGCGCGGTTCCTATTTTAAAACCACGTGCATCTTATTTATTTGCTGCCAGCGCTTTATCACTTTGTTATTGTTATTTTTAGAATTGCCCCTTTTCTCTCGCGCACCGGAAGTCGCACGAACCAAATTATCCGTGGCTCGTACTTTATTGAGCAAGCCCACGGCATCTGCGCCAAATTATTCCTCCACGATTTGCAGTAGTTCGACAACTCGTTGATTCTCACATTTGCAAAGCGCTAAAAACTGGTCTGCTGTGTTACAACTCATTGCTTTGCGTATCAGAATATTTTAATATTATTATGAAACGTGTGCCGCACGTAACTTAGCTATTAGTTTAGCTCCATCCGGCGAAGGTGAAATGAGGAATCCATTGAATAAAATACGGGTCTTTGCGCTGTGCGTTGCTTCGCATTCTCAAATATACGAGAATTGTGAGAGTTTATTTTCAAATTGCTCGGACACTATTACTCCGATGGTCTCGGATTTTACATATCTACTATCATAATAAACATAATTCACTAAAAAATTTTGATCATATGGATAATAATTGTTATTATTGCAATCCTTTGTTTAAATGGAAAATAGCTGTGCGTTTTGGCTTTCCAATTATTTACATCCAATCAGCGTATTGTCCGAAATCGCAAATGCCAGACGGTACCATAATTGGGATACTCTCATAAGCGGAATATAATTTCACGTACCGGGCAGTCTATTTGAAATTGAATAAATACTCGGTCTGCGAGTGCATGGCGGACGGTGCATGGGGGGGCGGTGGAGCCGGGGGTGGCGGGGGGGCTGGGGTGGCTGCTTACTAAAACTACCTCAGTGCTCCTGTTATTGATTTTGTCTCGCGCTCATGTACTCCGCCGCCTCTGCCCAGCGCCTGTTGGTACCTACCTATTTAGGTCGTGCCGGCGGACGATGATCGATAGAGCGCTCCCGGGCCGCCACGGCCGCGCCCCCGCAGCCGACAAGCGCTCGCCACCCTCCGTCTGCAAATATTTTATTCATTTCCCCGAGCCCCCTTCCTATATGTACATTTGTGAATAGCCAACGTCGAACTTAATTAAATACCCACCCGGCCAGGCAACGAATGATGAACTGTTGTGCTTTGCCGGATATTATATTTTGAATTTACCGATGTAGCTTGAAGCGATTGTTTTTTATTGGTACCGCGCTCTACAAATTATCGTTAACGATCGCTTGTGGGGACGAGTGATTTTTGTGCAAGACTCAATTACTGCTTTGCCATCTGCATTTACCTGTAGTGCCTTTGGCGAATCACCAGCTACCTAATAATAGATTTAGTAACAGTTGTAGCGCAAGGCAAAGCGAAGTATCGAGTGGAAAAAATGACAATTTTAATCATCATCATCATCATCATCATCATTATTATTGTAATATTAATTTCAATACCTAATGTTATCTGTTTGTAATAAAAGTATTGCTTTTATTTACTCAATACCTATTTCTAGTTATTACTCATCAGATTGCATTGATCGTAGCTGCTGTAGACTCAATTTATTTAATTGTTTTCACAATCTTCTGTAAGTGAAAGTCTAAGCGTTCGAATCTCTTAATGTTTGAAGACCAAAGTCTTCAATCAATGTGTGTTGCCAGTGATGACTTACGGAACCGAGACGTGGCCCTTCACTGCTGGACATGTGAGGAAACTCAACGTCGCTCTGCGAGCTATGGAGCAAGCTAAACTTGATATTTCTTGATAGAGTTCGTAATGAAAATATCCGCAGTAGAACCAACGTAGCGAGCGACCTCTGAGCGAGGATTAGTTAGTTGAAATGGCCTGCCATATAGCTCGTAGAACCGATAGCCGATGGGGAAGAAGGTTCTTGAGTGGCATCCTTTACTGGCCATCGCAATGTTGGACGACCCCCCACTAGATGGTGTGACGACCTGTGCAAATGTGCGGGAAGTCGATAGATGCAGGTGGCTCAGGATAGTACATCGTGGTGATCTGTGGGGGAGGCCCATGTTCGGCAGTGGACTCAAACAGGCTGAAATGATGATGGTGATGATAAAGCGTTATAATTTGTGATAAGAAAATCACACTATAATTCAAAGTGATGCACATCATATAAGCTGCGATTACGTGGTGCTGGTTCACGAGTAATGGATATAGCTCGTACTGGATTTCACTGCGGAGCAGCCATTCACAAGTTACTCGAGTGTTAAAGACCCCTCAACTGTAGTTGGGCCACACAACAGTGTTCACTGTCGAACGAATGGGCAGGTCCGTCCGGGTAAGTACCACGACCTCCCAGAAGACCGACGTAAAGTTTTCCACTTTTTCACATAAAATGCAAAATCAATGTATTCATCATTAGAATAAAGTTAGGTTTCATAGAACTATTAACTTATATCGATGTTTTAAAAGTTCTGTCGGATATTAAATGGCTATTTCGTATTGAAACATCACTAACTCTTGCGCATACTGCACATTCATTAAGTTTAAATTCATATCTCTATAATCACAGCTTATAAATACGCTTACTTTTTATATTAAAAATAACATTGTGTTCATAAAGAACAATGGCGAACTTCCATACAGAATGTTATTTCAAATTAAATTGCTACGTCTTCGATTATGCAATAGTTTTGTTTATAGGGGGCCGTGAATAGGAGATATTCAGTTTTGAACTGTTGTGGGTTATTACTATCACTTCTATTTGTACCTACTTTTTACAAAACTTCAAGTATTCACCGTACCTACCAGAAAATATTTAATATGTATTGTGTACTTTTAATGTGTAGATCTAATAGAGATTATATTATAAAGCATCTATATTCGAAAAAATATCAATATATCGCAATTTTTGATTTTATGCTTCAATAGTTTTAATTGGATCCAAATATCAGATATATCAGTAGAATTTTTAATACTTGGACAACGGGGGAAAAAAATATCCATACATGAATTTTTTCTCTTCGATATACCGAGGTCGATATTGATATTTTTATACATATCGATATATCGACATTTCTTCACTTTCCACATCCCTAAATGTCTGTCAATGTGTCAAACGCCTACGTTACTGTAAAGCATAGTTTCAGTGCTGCCATAACATTTTTTCATTTACTTGCTATTACACATCAAGATTTTAGAATGGAACGGAACTGAATAAAATACACTATATAATATACAAACAAAAAATTCAAAACTATACCTTTCCATTCAGACAAACTCATATGTTTTAAAGTTTTGTTTTAAGACAGCGATGGAACGATTATATATCTACTATATTTAAGGATTAAAAGTTTTAAATGGTAACACTAAAGTATTAAATATATACACACCGGCACAATTAGCGGAACAGAAAAAAAAGTAAGACTATGAGATAATAACGCATATATTTGACGAAAATGTAATTAGACACAAAATAACAAATTGATTAACATCTTTTAACAACGACTTTGAAAAGTCTTCGTTATTTTTTTATTGAAAAATAAAGAAAATTGAAATAAGTGAAATTTTTAGATGATTATGAACCATCACAAAAAATAAAAAAAAGTAAGCATTTAATGATTTAACAATAAAATTAAAGCAAAATTAATAACGAGTGTTTCCCCCTCTTGCTCTGATTACGGTTTCCATTCGTCTGGGCATGCTACAGATTATGTTATCGATGATTTCTTGAGGCAACCGCTCCCACTCCTCAAGTAATGCGTTTCCAAGTTCATTCAGATTGTTGGGGGGTGGCATTCTGGATTTAACCCTTCTTTTTAGCAAGTCCCAGACATGCTCTATCGGATTCATATCGGGGGAATTTGCTGGCCTGGCATGGGGGGAAATTATACATCACTGGTATAGCTACGTGGCTCAGATATGCCTGTACCGATTGTGCACTATGAGCACGAGCATTATCTTGCATTAGAATAAAGTCGTCACCAATAAATGGGGCAAATGGTACAACATGTTCTTCTAAAATGTCTCTGATGTATCGATCTGCTGTCATGGTCCCTCCTGTGACTATCACTAACTCCGTGCGACCTCCCAAACATATCCCTCTCCAAACCATAATCGAGCCGCCAACATAAGCCACTGTGTGTTCAAAATTAAACTGTATGTGGCGTTCTCCTTTGCATCTCCATATTCGCTGTCTCCCATCGATCTGTTTTAAAAGAACTCTGCACTCATCAGTAAAGAGAACCTGCTGCCAGTTCTCGCGCATAGCTTAATCGGTTTACGCGGTGACGTCTCTCAAGTTTTGGGCCTTTGGCAGGTATATACGACCCTAAACCAACTTCTTCAAATCTCCTGCGAACTGTACGCTCACTTATTCGTACTCCTCGAACGTCTTCCAGTTCATTTCGAGCTTGTACAGCCGTTAATCGCGTATTCCTTCGAACTCCAAGTTGTTAAAAACTGTCATCTCGCCTCGATGTACATCTTTTTCTACCTTGACCCCTCCTCCTCACAAGAGAATTAGACGATCTGTACCGCTGGATGCTGCGATGAATCGTTGATACTGGTCGACGAAGCCTTGAGGCAATCGATCTGTAGGTATGGCCATTTCTTCTTATTTCATCAGCCCTAATGATTTCCAGTGATGTTAAGTCAGGCATAATAAAGAGCTTTTTAATAAACAAAATTGCCTATAGAATAACAAATTTATAAAAAACCATTAAGTGCAATTTTTCAAAAAAATTACAATTACGTAGTTATTACTCGAACAAGTTGACAAAACGTATTGTTCGGGAAAATAAAACAAATGAATGAAAAAAGTGTATGTCATCTAATTTTCTATTTTCAAATTTGACAATAAATTAAAAAAATATCATAACTGGCCAGTTCCTCAAATAAAAGATTTTAAAATCCTGCTTTTTTTTGTGTTCCGCTAATTGTGCCGGTGTGTATATTAATGATTTCAATCAATTAAGTATCCTAAATAATATTTTTTATTTCCGGCTTTAACTTTTTTAAATGATAACTTTATAAAATGTAGATATTTTTTTAATATTCTTGGTTTAAGTGTCTATTCTAGACGCTTTAATTTTAGTCAAATAAGATTTGCCATTGTTCTTTAGGCATAGATAAACGATTCTCAGGTGGGAGTTCGGAATCATAATGTTTTATGCTTATATCGGATACTTGAAATGTTCGCTCAACTATTCATATAGACGGTTCATATCGCCGGGGCCCACCTCGGAAATAAATAATCGATGCAACCGCTTCTGCGCACTTCTGGCGAGGCCCAGATGCAGACGTTGCATTCAAACGGCAAAAGAGGTCACCCGTCCGGTTGTATTAAAATGAAATGAGTTAAATGTCCCGACGAGTTATTGTATACTGTGACCACCCTTTGGCATGCTCGGCAATTCAAATTAAAATCTCTCTTTATTCAATATACAAGCGTTGCACTTAGATACTGATTGGCAAAACTCTACCACCGGTTCGGACAAGAACCGGCGAGAGAAACTCAATGGGGCATGTTTTTAACCATTGTTTGACAAAAAGCATGGTAAGAAATGTATTGAAGTCCACTTGAAAGAGCCTGGAGCGACTAATTCATTCCCAGGGTGTGTTATCATTTGAATGATCACTAATATTAAAGTAGCCTTTGACACACACGTTCTTTACAATTTTTTTTTTGAATTTAGAAGTTTTGAACGTTTTGTTGTATTTTGTAGTAAAAACATACACATAGTCCCATAAAAGAATTACTTATTCTTATGGATTATTTATTAGATGACTCCGTGGTGCAGTCGCCAAGGTATCGGCTTCGGCGTCGGGGGTCGTGGGTTCGATTCCCACACGGGACAACTATTTGTGTGACCCACAGATAGTTGTTTCGCATCTGGGTGTTTGTCCGCATCAAATTTATGTTTGTAAAACGTCCTTACAACACAGGATAATGTTATCCTACAGTAAAGGCATTGTTAAAATCATATAAAAAAATTCTACGCAGTCTAGTTGTCGGTAGAATGAATTTATGTTTGTTCCTAGTATTTATATCTTGCACATTCGCGTGTCATTCTTGTTTTTATGGACATAATAACATTTTCAAGTACGTACTGAGAAGCAACAGTAAATATTTGAAGAAATTTCTTAATTATTCTTTTGGTGTATGAAGATTGTTTTTATATCGGCCGCGTTTCCCCAAAGTAGAATGCCATAAGACAATCTTTGTACTATTACAAGAATGTTAATAATCAGTCATGTTAAGTTTACACTAATTAGATATATTTGCGTCGCATCTCAAATAAATAATCAATGCAACCGCTTCTGCGCACTTCTCGCGACGCCCAGTTGCAACCGTTGCATTCAAATGAAAAGATAAAAACAAGTCGCCTGTTCAGATGAGTTATATAATATCCCCATGATCACCCCATTGGTATGTTGGGTAACCGTATGTCAAACACCCATTATAAATGACTATTGCACCATGTTTTAATAAATAATCGTATCTTTTTTTCTTTCTTACGAATTAGATATAACAAATTAATGTATGTTGCGTCGTTTCTGTGGTACATTTTGACTTTCCTATAGTTCTCGTCTATAATGTACTCCCAAAGTTATTAAGCGTAAATGATTGTACGCTTTGCGTAACATTTCTTTATAACATAGTGCAAAGTTGTTTGTGGTCAATGTTAATGAGTGAATATAAATTCCACAGTTTCTCCCTGACGCTGGTGGACAGCATGGACACGCTGGCGGTGATGGGCGACTTCTCGGAGTTCAGCCGCGCCATAAAGCTCATCCTGAAGGACATCGACTTCGACCAGGACATCGTGGTGTCCGTATTCGAGACCAACATACGGGTGGTCGGGTGAGGACCCTCAGCTTCCTTCAGCTGCCTCGACGGAGCTGGCGATTTCCTAAATCAGCTCAGACTCCCTCGCCATCGGGCCCACTCAATGTGGATGAGCAATGGCAACCACTTGAAATCCCTTCAGCCATCTAATAGTGTCTTTTTAGGGTTCCCTACATTAAAGAGGTAAAAGAGGAACCCTTATAAGATCGCTCTCTTGTCCGTCTGTCTGTCCATGTGTCACCACCGATTTTCCCAGGAATTGGTGGACCAAGCAAGTTGAAATTTATACCAGATACTAGTGTCTGTAGTCCCTGTAAGGCGTATAAATCAAGCTCCTGAGTCAATACGATAAAAAGATATGGGTAAAATTAGTCAACAAAAAACAATGAGTCAAAAGGTTTTGGGTCGAAAGTATCTAGTATAAATTTCAACTTGCTGGCTTCCACCCGTTTCTTGAGAAGATCGGTGTACTTTTTCTTTGTGAAAAGTTGTCTAGCGAGCAGACGGGGTTCTGATGTTAAGTGAATACCGTAGGGTTTGCAGATGCGTTGACAATCTTTTTGAAAATTGGTCTCCGGCTACCTGGCTCACCAGACGAAACGCGAAAGTATTATACTTCCCCTTCACGCCGGTCTTCTGCGAGGTCGTGGTATTTACCCGGACGAGTCTGCCCATTCGTGAAACGGCCGAGGCGGAGACTACGTGGCCCTACCACGGTTAAAACGATTATTATGTGGGGATTTTTTACCAATTTTATTATGGCGGTGTAATGGGTAGGTACGGAATCCTCGGCAAACGAGTTCGGCTCGCACTTAAACGGTTACTTTCTCTATGAGAGTAATTGAACTCGCACAGAAGGCTACGCTGGTGAAAACAAGACCTTTTTTTATTATTATCGTGAGAACTGTGTCAACGTTTTGACTGTCGTCTTTGTTCATTTGTGGCGCGAGGGCCGATTCTCACTTGAGTTTTATAAAGAAATATATATCATTTGTACAGCATATTGGACTTTTCAAAAGTGTTAACTATTGCCCAGTCGGGTTTTTTAATCAATCTAATTCTAATTATAAGCCTGCAGAGTTCGTATCGTATCGTAAACGTATCTACGTTAGGTATTACGTTTATGAACCATTACTAAGCTCCTCGCGATGCGACGCTGTTATAAATGTATTTCGTAGACTCGTAACTCAACATAACTTATTATTAAGTAATTATGACGATAGTAGTGTATTTTCGGTCCGGGCTCGCATCAGTTCCTGCGCCGTAGGAGGGCGGGGGTCGATTATTGACAACCGGCCGACGTGGCCGCGCCGCTCGTTCCGCCGGGGCGGCGGGGGTGTGTTACTGATAGGGGTGTCTCTTTGTGTCGGCAGGGGGCTGCTCTCGGCGCACGTGCTGGCCACCGCGCTCAAGGGCGAGGTGCCAGCCCTGGCCTGGTACGGGGGCGAGCTGCTGGCGCTGGCGGAGGACCTGGCCACCCGGCTGCTGCCCGCCTTCAACACCTCCACGGGCATACCGCACGGCAGGGTCAGTCCCCAACTCGCACCGCGGCGTTCAATGAATAAGCCAATGTTCAGGGACATTTATACACAACGCTCTCTAGTCCCAAACTAATCCGCGAATCTTGTACTATGGGTACTAGATAACTGATAAATAACATACATACTTAAAGATACTTTTCTTTTGTCAATAAAAACATATTATACATATATAAACACCAAGTCATCATGGTTCATCACAAAATATTTTTCCAGTAGTGGTGATCGAACCCACACCCTCTGACGCAAGAGACGGGGTCACTATCAACTACACTATCATTGGGCCAAATTCAAATTTCATTCCAGCATTCCCCCTCTCAGTCCCACTGTGCGCCATCCTATTGAATCCATCCTAGACTTCTTTCGACTATAACGCGACACGCATCTGAAATATATCCTCGAGAAGCCTGAGGCCAGACAATCCGCTATCAATGGACCCGAAGTCTTTGACTTTTCAAGAAAACTTTTTTATTTTTTTAAACTGGAACTTAATTTTTTTACGTGATATTACCACTTGCAAACGAGCTGGCGGTTCACCTGATGTTAAGTGATAACCTTTTGCAACGCCCATGGGCTTGCAAATGCCTTGCCACCTTTAAATGAGGTGGGCCCCGGCTACTTCCCTCACCAGACGAAACGTAAAAATTTAACACTTCTACTTTACGCCGGCCATCTGTGAAGTCGTGGTACTTACCCGGACGGACCTGCCCATTCGTGCAACAGCGACTACTGTTGCTTAGCCCTACTACAGTTTAATACACCAAAAACATGTTCAAGGCACAAAAAATGGTTCGACGTATGCTTACAAACGAACACACCGACAACAGGCACACATATAGTTAGTACGTGCAGTGGCAGCTGGTGGTCGGTTGCAGGTGAACCTGAGGCGCGGGCTGGCCGGGCTGGCGGAGTCGCGCGAGACGTGCACCGCCTGCGCCGGCACCATGATCCTGGAGATGGCCGCCCTCTCCAGGCTCACCGGCAACCCGGTGTTCGAGGACAAGGCGCACAGGGCGATGGACCGCCTCTGGAAGATCAGGCACAGGTCGGCTGGACGCCCACGAGCGGCTGAGCTTTGTCGAGCGTAGCAATCGGCGAACGGAGTCGTAGCACAATATATCTTAATCGTTTGTTCGTCGACGTAACAAACTTACATCTCATCCGTAGAGTCATTTATTTTTAATCGACCACCGTTTCGCAATGAAGTACAATATTAATGAATATATTAATGACAATAACCCCTGGGAATGAGTTGATCGCCGCTCTCGATGCCGAGCTATTTCTAAAACGAAAAATGTTGTAAAATATTTAAATGATTTGGGATTTTTTAAATGATATAAAAATGACATAAATAGAAAAAACCTACTGAATTTCCTTGTCCGTTAGAAGGAACTCATTAGAAAACGGTTGTAGATTTAAAAATTGACTATCGACAGATGAAATATGCGTTTCTTAGTTCGATGACCGTCTATTTTATTTTACAATTTTAGGGAAACCAACAACATGCAGAAGACCAACTAAAAGTTTCCACAATTAGATAAAAGTACCTATATAAGCGTGCAAAAAGAGTACCGGACGGATAGTTTACAACGACAGTAATAATTATAAGATTTTCAAAAAATGTATGTGTTAACAAAGCGTTAATTTTTCGGAACCTCGAACCTGTTGCTCGGCAGGACGTCGGACCTGATGGGCACCGTGGTGAACGTGCACACGGGCGACTGGGTGCGCAAGGAGTCGGGCGTGGGCGCCGGCATCGACTCCTACTACGAGTACTGCCTCAAGGCGTACATACTGCTCGGCGACGAGAAGTACCTGGCGCGCTTCAGCCGCCACTACAACGCCGTCATGAAGTACATCAGCCGGCCACCGGTCATGCTGGCGGTGCACATGCACAGGTGCCGCCGTTTCTATGTCAACTCGTGGCAACCGAATGCCGCCGCCCATGGACATCCGCTGCACCCGAGGGCTGCAGACGCCTCGACAACCTGTTGGAAATTGGGCTCCGGCCACCTCACTCACCAGACGAAACGCGACAGTATCTGTCATACTTCCACTTTATACCGGTCTTCTGTGAGGTCGAGGTACTCACCCGGACGAGCCTACCCATTCGAGGCTGCTGCGTGGCCCTAACACCGTGAAGTTACCAGTATACTCCTTGATGATGATTGAAAAATACTTTTTTTGTAACGTTTCATGTCACATGGAGAGGTTGGCAACGTAAACATTTAAATTTCATTTTTTTTTTATCTGAGAAGGTGCCAACGATAACCGCCGCCCATTGGCATTTGTAACATCCGTAGAGTTGCAGATGCGTTGCCACCTTTGGATACAGTTTACCTCAACGCGAACGCTTACCTTTCGTCCTTTTATTCTACAAATTTTAACGTTTCATCTTAAGTGCAAACACTAGCAGTATACAAATTTAAGTAACAAAATGGCTTAAGGTCTTTTTTGTTTTTGAATTGCATTTCCGAAGAGACACCAAATGCTAGCTGAAAAAATGTAAATTGAATAAACATTTATCTTCCTCAAGCGCCATCCGTAATGAAAATGAAGCCAACTGCTTAATGGGCGTTTGCACTAGTGACCATGAGATGGTTAGTTATTTATGCGCATGGAAGTTCTTGTGTGTGTGCGTAACGTGCACGGGTGTGCGTGCGTTGTAACGCGAGTGGTCCGTGGGCAGGCCGCACCTGCAGTCGCGCAACTACATGGACTCCCTGCTGGCGTTCTGGCCGGGGCTGCAGGTGCTCCTCGGCGACCTGAAGCCGGCCGTCGAGATCCACGAGATGCTCTACCAGGTGATGCAGAGGCACACCTTCATACCGGAGGCGTTCACGACCGACTTCCAGGTGCGACTTGGATTTTTTTTATTTGTCTATTTATTTATTCAAACAGACAATTATTAATCTCATGTGACGCACCCAAAAAATAAGTTTCACATTGTATACATGCATTTAAAATCAAAGGTAAACGCAACATCGAATAAAAGGAGAACAGTAACCTACAAAACTAGCAATGCAATACAATATGAAAATTAGAACAAAAGAGACGCTTAATATAATTATATATTAACAAGTAGATAAAAAATAAGGAAAAAAAGCTGTTAAAATGAAATAATCGTTGGAGTTTGAATTGTGCTAGCAGCTTCCTCCGTAAAACATTTAAACATAATATAGTGTTGATACAATAACAGCCCTCCCTTTACTCAACATCTGAGTTATCCGATTTAATTTTAACATTTCCACTTTGTAAAAAGCTCCTAAAGAATGCCCTGGTCTTCTCTGCTTTTGAATAAGATAGACGGTGTTGGACGAGCGGCTACCAGAGGTTCGGGCTAAATTAATAGTTCTGAGGGCATAGCTTGAAAGCTATCAAAGTCTGTATTGTCACCGTTCATGTGAAACGAACGTCAAGAAATAATTGTATGTATCTGGGCCCTCATAATGCATCTCCTGATTGATTTCTAATATTGTGGCCCCATCTAGTAACAAAAAACTTTAAATCAATCTTATTCTCATCTGTTTTACATAACAATTGCCAACGCAGTATCATGCAAACATTTTCTATTAAATTGCCACTATCAATAGGTATTAAATTCACAGGATTTATATTCAATTGAAATATAATACAATAAAACTAAATTTAAATTCAATCCAGATATATTTATTCAACATAGAAGCTCACCTATTAATTGTCAAAACTCTACTACCGAGTAGGAAATTTTTTTACCATTATGTCTATTTTTATGACAAAGAAACATTTTTACAAAAGTCCACTTCAAGGAGCCTAGAAGAATTCATTTCCAGAATGTGTTATCATTAAAATAATCACTAATACTATAATAGCTTTTAACACGCAAACATTCTTTTACGATTTTTTTTTAATTTAGAAATTTTGAACGTTTTATAGGATTATGTTTTAAAAACGTAAACATTGATGTATTATCCTATAAAAGAATAACTTATACGACATAATTAAGTTGCTTTCTCCATTTTAATAGCACAAAATATTGTATAAAAAGTGTCATGTAAATGATTACAAATTACAAATTACAAATTACTTTATTTCCAAAAAATGATACACAACTAAATTAAATAAACTTGTCACCCTCGTTGTACATGTAGTTTATATTCATAGATATTTGGTAATGTACGGGTAACAATTTTAAATTTTTGCTTCCTATGGCTTTTCCCAATAGCTGCTTCGGCGTTATAGAATCGTCTAGCGCAATGTGACAAACTACCATTGTACTACTACTTCTATGAAAGTCATTGCTTCTGATGATTTTTTTTAATGTAAGAAGGTGGCTGACGAGTTGGCGGTGCGCCAGACGTTAAGTGATAACCGCCGCCCGTGGAGATTGCAGATGCTTCGCGACCTTTTAATAAAGTGGGCCCCTGCTACCTCACTCACCAGACATTACGCAGAAGTATGCAGTGACGTGCACGGTAATTGGAGACAGGGTATGCACTAATTACGTGTTATGTACTGATTACTTCAGTAATAAATTATAAATTAATTAATGTTTATAAATCAAAAACTGAACACATACTTGGAGAAGAAGCATAACTGCATATTATATAAAAATTGAGCCTTAACATAGTATAAGCGCCGCATATTAGTATACCAACAAAAACGAATTCCCACCGCTGAATTTCAAATATCTAAGCGGGATTGTAATAATTTAGAATGTATTTTTTTCATTATTGCTAAATGTAGTACTTTACTAATCGCAAGTTTTACAATTTTATAAACATGATTAAACTAAAAAAAAAAAACATAGGTAATACTAATAATTAAATTAAATCAAACAATTACTTGCGCCGAGGAGAACAACCGAAACCGACAATAAAAACCTGAATTAATATCATTTTCATTTAGTCAAAAATTAAATGATAGTTTGACGACTTTTTAAAATGGAAGGGTTGAACCACAGGAACGCGTTCCCGTTCAGTAAAACTATTTCTTAGTTTTCATCGCGATTCATGGTAAAAGAAATGCTTAAATGATAAACCGAAAACACCAATAGATGGCGCTGAAATTAATAAATACGGAAAAAGTTAAAGTAAAAATTATCATGGCAATGCAAAGCCTTGTTCTTTGTATGGAGTGCACACGCCTGGAAGTATAATACTGCCGCTTTACGTCGTTCTTTTGTAAGGTTGTGGTAGTTTTCCGGACGGACTTGCTCATTTGTGCAACACTATAGCTTACAGATATGATTACTGTGTAGTATTTATACGGGAATATATCAGATAATTCTTTAACGCTAACTATCATTTCTTAGTGAAGTAACAGCCTATACGCGTTCCACTGCTGGGCAAAGGTATTTTCTGTATAGAGGGGTATTAGGGTATAGTCCACTACGCTTGCTTACTGCAGATTGGCGGACTTCATATTTTTTGAAATATTTTTGTTTTGAAAATATGCAGATTACAGGTGTCCTCACGATGTTTCCTTTCACCGCTGGGCAGCGCTGAAAATTAGCAATGTCATTGGTTCTCAAGTATGTTGAATTGAAAGCGAGCGACCGAGCAATGATCTGTCACGGCTCAATTATTCATTTCATTTGATTTGTTGCCGTTTCATTTATGTTGTATTGTTTATACGTTACTGTCTGTGTTTTCTTCTCCTCAATATTGACTATGACGCATGATCCTGACACCGTCTCATTTGGATTTCGTTGAAATGATTTATAAAACTTGAGCAGAGTCGTCCGTCACTTGTAGTTACATGCGATCATAGAAGGTCTCGCTGGGAGTGTGAACGGCCGCTTGGGGCGCAGGTGCACTGGGGCCAGCACCCGCTGCGGCCCGAGTTCGTGGAGTCGACGTACTTCCTGCACCGCGCGACGGGCGACGAGCACTACCTGCGCGTGGGCGAGGCGGCGCTGCGCTCGCTGCAGCGGCACGCGCGCGTCCCGTGCGGCTACGCGGCGCTGGGCGACGTGCGCACGGGGGCGCGCGAGGACCGCATGGACTCCTTCGTCCTCGCGGAGACCTTCAAGTACCTCTACATGCTGTTCGCCGACGACGCGCGGCTGCCCGTGCGCCTCGAGGCCTACGTGCTCACCACCGAGGCGCACTTCCTGCCGCTCGCGCTCGCCGCGCGCCCCGCGCCCCACGCCCCCCACGCCCCCGCCGCCCCTCGCATCGCCCCTCCGCCGGAGCACGACGCGCCCAACGCCTACCGCAAGTGAGCCTCCCCCCCACCCCCACCAGTGTCGGGCGCCCCGTGGCCCCCCGCCTCCAGCGACCGATTCGACGGCGGACGTGTTGCAGGACCTGCCCGAGCCCCCGCTCGCTGGTGGCGGCCGCGGTGCGGCGGCCCCTGCGCCGGCTGCTGGGCGCCGCGGGCCGGCCGCCGGCGCGGCTGCGCCCCTTCACCGAGCCGCAGCAGCTGCACGCCCTCGCCGACATGGGCATCTCGGCCATCACGCTGCCCGACGGCAGGGTGCAACTGCTCTACGCCGTCACCACGGTGCGTCATCGGTCTTCTTTGCTCGAGTTTAGTCTTAAAGCCGAACCACCACCTGCGAAGCTAGGCGTGTTCGCAAAGGTAAGACGGTACTCCGCACCGGAACAGCTTCTTGCTATTTACGAATCTAGCAAACCCCATCGTGTGTAGAGTGCTGCCGCCATTGTAAATTACTCGTGGAAAAACGTGCAACGATTCATTGGCGCTGGTAACTTGTTTAAAAAAGATCGCACAAATTTTGAGCTTAAACACAGACTTAGTAGCCAGTCGCTTGATCTTCTACAGGTTGCATTTTGAAAAGTGTGCGTTAGAATTGCACGAGTTAATTCCCCTTCGCTTCGTATTCGTCGTCCGTACAGCTAAGAAATGAAGAGGCTTTTCTAATACAGTTGCTCAAAAAGTGGCGCATTGCAGCGACGTATAGCGTTTGGGATGTGGGCTATTACACACTCGAGCTATTTCTTTAACTTTTCCGAACTATCGCGCGTTCTCCATCCCAACTGTCAAAATAATGTCTATTAAAAAGAAAAAACCAACCACGAAGCTTTAATGATTCATGCAAATATTTCTAAAAAAGCTACTAATGTGTTTCAATAGTGAGATAGCGATTGATAGCGAGATTTAATGATTTGATTCAATACTTAAAACTTAACCTAACTTAGTTTCATTTCATTTCATTTTCATTTCATATAAATAAAAAAATCTACTGAAGTCTTGGCTGTATGGGCATAGTTCCCTTTGCCTACCCAGAATGGGTGAAGAAAACAAAAAAAATTTGCGCCATTTTCCAAAAAAATTCTTTGCGAGTTTAGTGGTTTGTTGCACAAAATGAGTATCTAAAATAACACCACCGGAACTCGGTATAATTGCACAAAATGCTTCGGAGAACATTTTACCGAATAAGTGAAACAGTCGCTACATATCTACATACGACGAATTTATTGCGTGAAGAGAAGAGAAAAAAGCAAATAGTTTTTCAGAAAATTTTATATTGGCATACTTCTCCGAATTCTCAGCAAAATTAAAACCTTCTACGTTATGGTCGAGGTTTTCGATGATAAAAAGTATGCTGAAAATAAGGAACTACGTGGATATAAGTGAATACCCAGAACTAAATTCTTTCTTAAAACAAGGAACAATCAGACAGTTTTACAACTAAAAAGTCGAAAATACATCGAATGAAATGGAGAGGTTTTTGAGCCCCCGATGATTGTTTAGATTATTTAGCCACAAAGGTAACTTATTAACAAATACTTATATTTTTCTTTAGTTTACGAAATCGCAAAATAAAGTCACAATATATTATTTTAAAAAGGTATTTTGTAGGTTGCGATGACTTTTGGCGTTGTTGGAGCTTGCCACAGAGAGGAGTTGCCAGTTTTACTTTAAAAGATATTGAAGCCCATGGAAAAACGCTACTAATCAAGATTCCGAATACGAAAAACAAGATACCGAGAGGCTTTGTTGTTGATGGAGATTTTCTTAGAACAGTGCAAAAATATATGAATCAGCTGTCCCAAAGAGCTAAAACCGACCGTTTTTCCAAAATTATCAAAAAGGGAAGTGTTCAGCTCAAGCAATCGGGATAAACAAATTTGGTAAAATGCCAAAAGAAATGGTTGCGTGTCTTGGTTTGCCGAATGCTGACAATTACCCTGGACACAGCTTCAGGAGGACCTCTGCTACATTATTGGCAGATTCAGGAGCCGATTTGACGTCCTTCCATGAACAATCATACGAAAATAATAATAGTTTGTCTCAAACAGCAAATATGCAACCTAAAACTTGCCCATTTAGTATAAAAAACTGTACCAATTTCAATGTATATGTGAATTATAGTTTTTATAAGAAATAAATGATGTTGAGTTTATTGTGTTCTTATTATTCTATTCTTTCCGCATTCGTAATGCAATATAGTATGACCGAGCCAGCGCGCTTACCACCAACGGCTGCATCGCCACCATACCGTCAGGTGGGATGGCAGGCAAGCCCTGGCCAGTTTCAATACGAAAGAGTGAACTTCACAGGCGAAGTCGGCGAAGGACGCCGCCGAGGGGCTGACGTTCATGCACGAGATGTCCAAGTGGAACGCCCTTGGCGACACGGAGAACGGCGTGGTGCCGGCCGGCGTGCAGGTGGACGGGCGCGTGCTGCCGGCGGGGCCCGCGCACTTCGGCAAGGAGGTGCGCGCGGAGGAGCGGCTCCGCGGCGCGGCGGCCCTGGCGCGGCCCCTGGACGCGTGCGGGCCGCCGCTGAACGCGCACGAGCTGGCCGGCAAGTTCGCGGTGGCGGAGCGCGGCCGCTGCACGTTCGCGCAGAAGGTGCGCCACCTGCAGCAGGCCGGCGCGCGCCTCGCCATCGTGCTCGACAACGTGCCCGGCTCCTCCCACTGGGCCACCGCCCTCTTCGCCATGTCCGGCGACGGGGTGGACGACATCCGCATACCGGCCGTGTTCCTCTTCTCCGAGGAGAGCGCCCACCTCCTGGAGCAGCTGCGCAAGGACCCCGAGCAGCAGCTCACCGTCGGGGAGCTGAAGGCGATGAGGCAGCAGGCGGACGGGGCCTGCGAGGGCGGCAGCTGCGAGACGGTGCTGGGCGCGGAGGGGCCGCCGGCGGACAAGGAGACCTTCGACCACCTGAAGAACGTGCTCAAGCAGCTGGTGGCCCAGTTCGAGGTGTCCCTCCCGGAGGGGGGCAGCTGCCCGGGCGCCGAGGGCGGCGGCAAGCAGGTGCACGTGGCCACGACCAAGTTCGTCAACGAGCCCGCCCCGGGGGGCCGCGGGGCGCCCCAGGCGGAGGGCGGGGGGCCGGGGGCAGGGGAGCGCGACCCCCCTCGGGACGACGGCGCCGCCGGGGGGGGGGACCTCTGACCCTACCTTCATCTTCGAGAACGAGAACTGCAAGTGCGGCGAGGAGTGCACGTACACATTGCTAAAATCGGACAATGTATGGAAAATACGCGCCGTGGCCAAAAACCCACAACCCATATTCCTATAAACATATTCCTATACGTGTTACATTATTCACTATATTCGGCGCGTAGCGAGGTATGGTTTACTTGCATATACTTACTGAATACACATACCGTTTCCGAATAGTGTTGCGATAAACAACAAAAATAAAACTTGTGCGGCCGTGTTCGCCTCGTGGGGAGCCAAGTGGGGAGCCGCCGCCCAACAGTACCGCCAAGACTAGGCCGACGCCGCACTTAGCAGACGCAGACAATAATATGATGTAAGTTTGTTAGGCACCTGGATGCCTCGACTGAATACTTAAGGCGAGCAAGTGTTACGGCTGTAATAATTATTTTGTGTTGGCATGTTTCGTTGCAATACTTGATTCTTCCTCTTCTGAAATTCCTCTTCCATTTTCTAAATGATATTTACTTATACTTAATAATACTAACGACAGGTTTCGTATACCACATAGTATAGAGTTATGGTCAACTCACAGTTTTCTAACGGTTGTAATATAACTGCAAGAATTACCAAATACACTCTGTAATCACTACGATATCAAATGGTAATGCTTTGGGAATCGACGAGTTTGTGCATTTAATATGTGTTGCCTAAGATTTAATCTTGTATATAAGTAACCACAATCAGTTAGAAGAAAAAATGCGAAAATCATTACTTAACAAGTTATTTGATAATAATCATATACGAAGCATAAGAGACGGAGGTGCCGCCGGGATTGTTTTTCAAAACCCTACACCTTGTGATTTTGTTAGGAATTGATGTTTCGATACTACTTGTATTGAGATTTTTTACACACGACGGTAAAGGAACATTACCCACGGCAGCCATAGTCGCCGTTTGGTTAGTCTATTTAAATTATTGCATGTCTTAATCGTAGGTTCGCGTATGAGTAACGGACAAAGGAAGCTTAAAAAAGATACGACTAATCGACCATTTATGGGAATGTTTTCGAGACCAACAAATCGTTACCAGCCTAAGATTGAAATCAAACGATATTGTAAATATTTAATTGTAAGGCTCATCGCATCGCTGATAATCATATTGTACAATATTATATGTATAAATGCAATTTTGTAAAATAGAATGTTTAGATGCGGTATTCGCTCATAGATAATTGATTAGTATCGAATTCCAAATTCAAATACAATATTATCAAATAAATTAATAAAAAAATTGATGGTATATTAAATTATTGAATTATCTGTATAAGTAAAGAGCAGTATACTTCCCAAACAATTATCATATATTTAGAAATCATACGCGAAAAAATTCTAGGGAGACTTGATTTGAGTGTAATGGAAACGACTTCATCATTGTATCAGCCGTCTAAGGAATGTATCGATGTCATGTTCAATGCAATAAAGTGATGAAAATCCAATTCACGCATTTTTCATTGCCCCCATAGTGCATGCGTAAAGTCCACCCGGCTTGTAGAACTTTGTTCATTTATTTTGATTTGCCTCCGCAAACTCTTCTTTGTGAACGCGTAAAAAAGGGCAGCTCAGTGCAAAAACATGTGCGCCTTACGACTGACAGCCTTGCAGATAGAATGGAAATAAGCATTGAGACGTCCAACGCCTCACCCTCAGTCTGTCCCGTGACCATAAACGCTGTAAAGGGTTCCAAACGTCTGGTATTAAAACCAAAATAAACGCGATAAATCCGTAAACATAGTTTCATATTGAGTTATCGCGTAAATACACGAAATTATAAGCATTGAGATTAATTTAATGATAGGAAAATAGAACGGTAGAAAATAGGAGGAATACTATCGCCGCTGCGGGAATAGAGCCTTCTATTAATATTCATTCATTCATAAGAAATGGCCATTTCTATAATAAGTAATGTTATAGCATTTTATTGCACAAGTCTTCAATGTCCTTTAAGCTGATGTAACTTTTGAAGTTATACATCTTTTGGCACGTTAGGGAAAAATCGTACGTATGTTTGCGTGAGAACTGACAACTGTATTCACGATATTTATTTTGTGATATTTAAATAAACTTTATTAACTAGATAATAAAACTTTCAATGTATTAAATTACTATTCTATTGTTATTCTCTTGTATTGATTTCTATTGTTAGTGTCGTTTTTTCTACAAACGTAGAATAAGGCGAAAGATAAAATTTTTGAAAAGATTTTTATCTTGTTACGCCAAAGAAGAACTTATAACTTCTAATGCGTGTACATAAGTACACACACACACTTTGTTTATTTATGTACTTATTTAAATAAAAGTAACACTAATGTTAAGTGAAGCCTACTACGAAGCACTAGTGGAATTGCACCCAAATCAGTTAAGTCGAGACAAACGCATAAACAAACAGACAAGAATTTTAATATTCATTGCTTTGGGTTCTACTCCTATTGCATTGATAAAGGCCCCCAATAATAGATTTTTTTTTTCAAATATTGCATGTACAGACAACGATCAGTTGCATTTGTATTATATAGGTAGATTATTTGTATACTGTTAACTTTAGGTAGGTATGTAAAACCACTGGCGTGGGTCGAATCGAAACAAATTGATTCGTTTGCATTTGAGTGAGTTAGGTAATTACCGTGCCGACTAATTAGCCAAACGATAAAAACATTATACAAATTTCAATTTAGAGTGCAGATAACAAATCCATTCATTCTGCTTAATTTACCTGCACCTAAAATGATTATTTTAATAAATAAACTGTCGTATATTGGTAGCGATGTCGAAAAAATATCGATATTTTTGATTTTATATATCGATAATTTCAGTCGATATATTTGGATCAGATCCACATATATTCAGTATCAAAAACAATATTTTTATCAAAATCTATTCCGGCACAAAATCAGTACGTGTCAAATATTTAATACTTGACATACTTTTTTTTTTTGGACAACGGGGTTTCTAGGACCAGTACTAGAAACGATATATCGATGTTTCCTCTTCGAGGCCGATATTGATATTTTATAAATATCGATTTATTCCTCCACATTCGATATCCCTTGGAGATGGACTTCGCCGATCGCAAGTACGGGGGCAACCTATAGTCCTCTCCACGTACCATGTTCATATCCTATATACCTACCATACCTTTATTGCTTATGGAGGAAGACGCCTGTTTCAGAACTTCACTCAAAATGTTTCTCTTGTGTGGGCATTTGTAGACTACTAGAAAATATCTTTTCTCGTTAATGAATTCGGTTAGGTACTGTACAGCTGTTTTAAATAATATAAATAAATATCGATAAAATGGTATTAAAAGTACCATCCAAGCACTTGTGGACGTGACGTCCCAATGTTGAAGACATATAAAAATTTATAGGACAAACGTACTAGTAAAGCTATTGTTGTGAAACGTCTATAGCCGTACGTAAAACCGGCGTAAAAAAATTTCTGGCGTGGCGACGCATGCCGTGGCGACGCGTCGCCACGCTATATGATGGTACATATATATATACAGTCTCTATGCAGTAGTGTGTACGATTAATTACTCAAATTTAAATTAATTGTTAATAATTAATTAAATTAACTTTAATTAATTGTGTGTACTATTACCAAAGTCACTAATTAAACGAATTAAATAGTCACGATTTGAAATAAATTCATAATTTTTTGTATTTAATAAAAATAAATGTTTATTCAATAAATAGTCATCGTTATCTGGAAAAAAAATCATAACATTTTATTTTATCATTATGGCATAGTTTAGTTCCTATCACAATCTGCTCTTTTTTGCATATTACTTTTACAAAATAATGTCGATGTTTCACATCTGCCAGGCGTCCCGTGACGGCTCATTTTTTTTATTGTTTTTAGTATTTGATGTTATAGCGGCAGCAGAAATACACATACATAATAGATTATTACTCCACTACAATGCCTTAAAAACCAAAAAAAATTACTAAACTTGGCTTGCAGATTATTTTAAAAACAACTATTTTTTAGCTCTCCAACAATGCATAACAACTAGGAGATTATTTCAAAGAAACTAAAAACAATTGCTCAGAAAGGAAGCAGGTGGATACTCGTTTTCGTGCTAAACATCGATCGTTCTTTAACATTTCCATAAAATGAATTAAAACCCCAATATAAATAAAAAAAAATACAAAGTTAAAATAAAACTTAGAACATAGTTTTGAAGTAACAAAAATAATTATTAATAAGTAACAATTAAGACATTTTGTACTTTAGCCTAATTATAGTTCTTGCTTGAAGTGACTTCCCCTATAGTATCTGCAGTCTCATTCTTTTTCTAAATTGGGACTTGACTGCCGTAGTAGCCAAATTATTCCGCATTGCATTTGCTAGGTTTATAATTCTTGTTACGGATTTCATGGGACCCCAGACAGAAATGAAGCAGCGTAAGAACGAATAGGAAAATGGCTATGGAGGTATGGAGCCATCGCAAGACATCCGTCTTTCTTGTATATATTGTTTTACCTTGTGGCATAGTGTCACTGTCAATCAACAAGACATTACATGAAAATGTAGCTACTCGTGTTCGGGTGTGGTGACAGTGTGCGCCAGGCTTTATGACATCCAAACGTCCTTGCAACGTGTTACGATGCGCGACCCGGATGCGCAGTGTCGTTTTATACGCCCCCGCCCTCTCTTCGACCCTCCGGAAACAGCAGCTTAATAAGAATATTTTAATAACATGCATTAACTAAAGGTGGTACCTTTGCTAATCTCAAATTTCAATATTAAGTGTAACATTGCTAGTAACATCCAACAATTTTATTAATTCTGTTTCTTCTTTCATTTCAATGGGGATCTGATTGGTCCTATCAGTTCTTGTACATATGATCATTGTTAAGTTTTAATGGCATTCAAATTAATGATATTTCATAGCCATTGTTTATGTATTAGTGCTTCGTAAGTCTGTCAAATACACATTTTCTTTTACAAGTCACAACCTTTAAGCATTTAAAAAATCTCATCTCATATCATGGAATCAAAAGTAGGAATAGGTAGTGTAAGTAGTGCCGATGATATCACTCGATAATGAAACTAAACATACCTATCCATCATATTAAGTAGGAAAAAAGACCTTGGTAAAAATTTTTGTTAATCATAACATTCATTTAATACAAATAAACATAACACACAGGCACAATCAAAGAGTTCAACTTAGACAAGATCCACACATAGCAAGTTATTTGTGTAGTTCATTAACCTCTCGCACCTTATTGTGGCACGTTTTTGTGCGAACAGACACCAGAGCACAATAGAACCAAGGTGGTTTAGGTGAGACAAACATTTAATTAGTTTTCATTTTATTAAAGGATGTGGGAATGGGAAACATTAAGTCAAATAATTTTCACACAGGTAAAGAACTTTATTTGGAGTGTTTAGTTATTACAAGTACTAGTAATTTTGTAACATAAGAAACATTTGAAAAAAATCATACAAGACTTTTTCTTATATAAAATAAAAAAGTAGGTAGGTATGTTTTAAATAAATACATGATTCTTTTGGGGCTTCGGAACCTGCATATCATTTCTCAACAACTAGTAGAATATATTATAATTTAATTGCACAAAGTTTCATTTTAGATAAGTTTAATTTCATCAAGGTATACCACCGCGCAACCGATAGTAAGATAAAAACACAGTATACATAATTGTACGCAATCTAAAACGAGAGAGACTCCACGCGCCAGGCCGCTCCGATAAACTATAGGAGCCGTCCGACGCTTGCCCGGCGCTATACCAAAGGAACAGTTCAGTAAGAACCACCCAAACAATTCAATATATATTCATTCAATAATAAAAATATCACATCTTTGATCCATGATATTATGCAGTTGCATTCACGTCACCCCCCAAGACAATTTGATAGTTAGAAAAAACCGGAGAGCCGATACCGACCGAACGAAACACAGAGTGGTACACGGACAAGAAGACATTGAAAGGGGCGTGGCACGCGCCGAGACACATGCAACACTACGGGGGGGCGTGCCACGCGCTCTCGGCCATTGGCCTTAGGCCTGACTCTCGTTGGTGGTGGCCGCGTCCAGCGTGGCGCCGCCCTTGGCCTTCGCCTTGGGCTGGTCAGCGGTAGGCGCCGGTGCCGGTGCGGCGGGCGCTCCTTGGGCGGCGCCCTGGCCCTGGGCGGGGGCCTGCACGGGCGCAGCCTGGCCGGCCTGCGCGGCAGCCTCGTCGCCGCGCGCTCCGCCCGGTGGGAAGCCGCTGCGCGGGCGAGCGCGCCTGTACCCGCCACGGTTCATCGGGCCCGGTCCGCCGCCACGGCGCCCGCCACGGAAATTGCGCCGGAAGTAGCTGCCCCAACACGCAAGCACAGACACACAAACATTTAATGAATGTATATACACCAGTTATATTTCTAAATACCCTGTGATAGATGGAAGCCCAAGTACTGGGGATGGAACCCATGGCTTAGGCGCAAGAGATGCGCTCAATATTCACTATGCCTATTATGCACCAATATGTTGAGTGGACAGTACCCAAAAATTGAATTGAGTTCCATTGAGGTGTGACAACAGCTATATTTCATACAACAATAAAAACAAAACAAAAGGATTCCAAGGAGAATATTACTGATAGTCTATACTTCAGTAATGATGCAACTTGTGTCACAATGAGGCACTTTGCAAAGGTAATTTAGTAGTGACCTACTTAGCATTGGGCTAAATAAATAACTCAACAAGGCTATAACATACTTTGGGGCACAGGCAACCATCAAGCAACTGTTTCAAAGAATAACAAGTGAAAGGAGAAAAAACTGAACACCCTCAAGCCAAACAGAAAAGAATAAATATATTATCATAAACAAACAAACTTATCTCTTAAGTTGTTAAAGCAGGAATTGTGGGCTCACCTGCGCTGAGGTGGAGCTCCACCTTCTTGCCCCTCATCCCCTTGCGCGCCCCCCTGATTGGCTGGGGGCCCGCGACGTCCCATGCCACCCCTGCGTGGAGCGCCCTCACCACCACGTCCGCCGCCTTGACGCGGATAGTACTGGCGAGGAAAGCCGCGGCGTTTGTCAGCTGCGTAGGGCGAGCCCTTGACCGGCTCGCCGCCGGGCCCGGTCACTCCGGCGGCCTCGTAGCCTTTCTCCCCGGCGACCACGGCAAACTCCACCGCCTCACCGTCGCCCACCGAGCGCACAGCCTTGCGCGGGTTGTTGCGAGCGATCGCTGTTTGATGCACGAACACATCCTCCTTCGTGTCATTCCTGTCAGCCACAAAAGCAAAAATAAAGTAATAGTCTAATTGCAGTTGCCATGTCTATAGTCTAATTGACTAGGCTTTGATTTGACCCATGCTGGTAAAAAGAAAATGTGTGAACAACTTAGCAAAACCTCAATTTGTTAGTCTACATTTTAATACTTGATGAAAAAACTGTACCCCTTTTTAAACATATTCCACTTAGAATTAAAATTTTGTTTTGCTCTATCTTTAATGAAATGTTTTACTAGTCTTATAACTTTATTGTAAGAATTCTAAGAAACATTAAATTAACAACAAAAGGAAAATGAGTCAAGGTTTTGTTGAAAAACCTGTTTTGAATTAGCGATTAATATTGGTGACCTCCAGAAAAAAAATTTATGATAACTGTATTTTGCAGAAATGTACAGGGACAGAAATGTACAGAAACAAATTTTAATCATTAATTTTTATACACATTACCTATTGATGAAACCATATCCGCTCTTGACGTTAAACCATTTGACGGTGCCCGAAACCTTCTCAGCTGCAAAATAAGAAATTTTTTTATAATAAGAGATAAAATGTGCATAAGTTCATTGGAAAATAGTTTATTTATCATTAAAAAATCCTTCACCTATATACACCTACCTACACCTGCAGAATTTAAGAGTCAAAGTCAATTTTTTCCTATTTTTTAAGTGAATCCATTCTTGTGTCAGTTTCTTAATAGAAAACTGATCTATTTTAAAATAAGTTTATATAGAGGCTGAACTAAGGGTTTGAATTTTATAATGACCTTCAAATTGAAAAAACTCCATTTTCTAAAATAATGAAACACATATACTTCATAAGCATTAAGCTGGGTAACGCGCTCATACGCGGTAATTACTGTTCAAGTTGGGTTTTACGATGTACCCACATGCAAGTGATAAAATCAAAATACCTGTATTGTAGATTTACGCTAGCTCAAACAATGTATTACCTGAATTGGAAAATTTAAAATTCCAATAAGGCGATGCAAAATTGCAAAGCAAAGGCATTTTAAAGAAGAGCAAACGCACTTTATTCTTGAGTATCCACTATTGATTTTAGCAGAGGCCGCTCTGTGCGGGGTCCGGGGAGGCAGCCGCGCTTTGCGGGGTCAGCCCTCGATCAATAAAGCAACGCGCCAGAACGCAACTCCAAATATTATACATATATATATATATATAATAACTACATACACTTTAAAATATTTAAATTATAAAATAATGCGAAGAAAACTGTGTTTCACATTTTGCGAGCCATGTGGTTTCGGTGTCCAAACGCCGGGCCACGCAAAAACTAAGATGGCGTAGCACTTACCAATGACCTGCTTTTGTTTAACGGCTTTACCCTGTTGCGGTTGAGGTTGCTGGTCTTGCTGCTGCGGCTGCTGTTGAGGTTGCGGCTGCGGCGCCTTTTCGGTATCAGCCATGGTGTAATTTGGCGAACGGCGATGGTGGCTAGATGGTAAATTCCTCCACGACCTCTCCTCGATGTTCACCGCTCTTCGATCGTTACAAATGGACTGACGAACGATTTGACAAATGCGTTCATTAGTTCTTGTTTTGTTAGGTTGGTAGTAAGCATGAACTTCCGACAAGTGTTTACAAATAGTTAAATAAATTATAATCTGTCGGTGTCACATTTGTACGTGGTATATTTAATTATAAATGAAATATATTAATATTTTCTTAGGAGTAGACGAAACTAAAATGGATGCTAAGCTATGAGTGATTTTTGTAAAAATAAGTTATGATCATAGAGCACATAGAAGACCATAGTACTAGACGACTTGCACACTAGGGGAGCTACAAAAAATTACTATTCTTACTATAAAATTTGCAAAGCACTAAAAGTGCTATAAGCTAATGCTAAAGCGCTAAAAATAATTTTATTGACAGATATTTCTTTATTGAATTAAATAATGAAATGTCTGATTGCTTTATCAAAAAAGAATGATGAAAGAATATGTCTATTCTATTATATTTTTTTAACTACTATTATACCTACTATAATCTCATAATTATATCCCTCTGTTGGTTCTGTATTGTTCCCTAATATTTTATATTCATATATGGCAACAGAGCGCATGGCGGCTAAATTAAATTCACCTATTACATAAACCCTTACTTTCGCTCATGAAAATTAAATTGAAGACATTAACAACACACAAGTTAAGTCATTTGTTTCATTTGATAAAATTAAGGTAATTGATTACAACAGGGCACATAACGAACTTAACTTGTCAATATCGGATATATTGTTTTGAATTTTAATTGAACCACAGACTGCCACGAAGCACGATCCTCAGCTGATGTGGATGGATGGAAACAGGCTGAAAAGATGATGATGATGATGAATTTTAATTGCAGATGGTTGGAACCCGTTTTTACGTTTCGGGAAGTTAAAGTAAAAATAAACAAAGCAGCAAATTTTAAAGATGATATTGCAATTAAAAAAAAATTAAAACGACAGAGAAAAATCATTAATGAATTAATCAACAAGCAGAATTCTCCAGTCCTCCTGTATCTGTTTTGTGTAAGTCACCTGTTTTCTTGAATCAAATTTTTCATTGCCTGCCTTCAGAGCTAGACGACCGCGTTTGACTTCTTTATGCCAACGGTAGATGGTTGCCTCGTGGGGTGCTTCCGGTTTATTTAGAATTGGTTATTCATTATATTATCAATTTTGGTTAAGAGCACAAGTAAAGGGAAAATTCCTAAAAATAAAAGTTGAAAATTAAGGTAAATTTTGGCACTTATAAGTTTTCACGAAAATCTAAATTTGCCCATAGCTTTTTATCGTATTTACTCAGGAGGTCTTTTACGGAACCGTAAAAATAATGTAATCTTGTTATTTTCACTATTGAAAACTTCCATTTTGTTGATGTCAACATGTTAAATTTAATATGGCTTCATTAACGGAGTCGGATTGCAGTGTCGGACCTGTGACTCTTCAAATTAAAAAAAAAATCGAGCAATCGATACGAAGACGTCGACCGCTTCCTATGTAGATTTATAATGTTGGCAGCACTGTGTATACAGTTCCTGAAGTCAAATCAAAGTAACAAAATGGTGGACTTTCTTAGTGATAATAAAAAAGTTGTAAATATTTTTTTTCTCGAAAACTATAAGCGACATTTAGGAAAATTTTGGTTCTTGAATAATTCATTAGTAAATTTTCTCTATCGCTAATTTTTTTAATTGAAATATCAAATTCGAAATTTGCTAAATATTTTTACAAGAAATTATTAACAAGGTTAAAACAAATTTTGAATTCTCTCTTAAAATTATATACGATTTTTGTACGCAACATAATGGCGGATTTCCTTAGCATGCAAGATTATTTTTTTTCCTCAATGTTGACGCATATTTTTGCTTCATATTGATTCGGTTATGGTCTGCTATCAATTAAAATGATACTCGCATTGCTGGATGTAAGGCTCAAAGCTGTATTAAACCTATGTTCAGTGTCAATAACTTACCTTACAAACAAAAAGATCATTTAAAAAAAATATAATTATGGACTGTCTGAGATTGTCTCTTTCTCTTTCTTTCTCTCCGATATTTTGCTAAATATTGTTCTGTGACCTTAACAGCAAACTGAAGTTTATGCACACTATTGTTACTGAGCATTCAGGAGTATGAAACAATATTAAACACGCTACAATTTTAAGAACTTTTATTTACGTCTATTGGTTTGACTCTATGATGATATGATGAATTAAAGTGCATCGTTTACATTAATACCTTAACACCAAGACTTACAAATTATACTGACATAGTGGGTTGAAACGATTTTTTTTCATTCGATACATATTTTTAAAAGTGTTACATTACCATTATAACATATAACTATAGTGATAAGTGAAATTTAAATTAAGTTTTGAAATCTCGTATTAGACATACGCCTTATTTACTCAACCGTGACTATGAATAAGACCATCCATTTCCGTATCCCCGAGGTCTGTGCCCGATGCGTCCATGGGATTGTCTGTGCTGTCCCAATCTTTGCTGCTAATAACGAAAGCCACATCTACAAACTCGGAGTCATTGTTTTCATTATTAAGGGAAGCTTCGCGATTCATGTCCTCTGTTCCGTTGATTACACTCTGAACTGTGCCATTCACGAATTCCCTAGTAATCACTCTCTGCGGCGATACTTCGTTCTCGTCGTATACAGGGCGGCCCTCAGCATATATTACTGTTTCCAAGCCAAAGGCTTTTTTATACTGCGACTTTGTTGTTGGATTTGGATATTTGTTATTACTGCGATTTGACGTTTTATTGTCGGCGTCGTCATCATTCATGGCAGACTTTAGGTCACGTATTGGAATCCGCTGTGCCACTGCCCTGTCTTGCATTTCGCTGTTCGAAGTTAAATTATCCAAGTAATCAGAAGATTGCGAATTATCCTCTCTTTCGCCACTCCTTGTAGAAAGGCGTCTAATTTTATTGTTAAAAGGTTCCTCCGTCACTAACGTTTTACTAGTTTCCTTACTTATCTTAATTTGAGCAGAAATATTATCATCTTTTGTGTCCGCAGGCGCTATCAGTAATGGTTCACTTATGCGTGTCGTTATATTAGTTCCTACCATTGTGGAGTCTTGTATGGGCGTATGAAATAGGTGCGATGAAAGTGCTTTTGCGTTATTTGTATCGACAGATGGAGCTGGAAAAGCATTCGAATTGTTTATTATGTTATTCTCCTTGTATATGCGGGATGGTTCATTTTTAACCAAACTACCTAAAGTATCGTCATCAGTGAATTCTGTAACTCGCGTCGTTGTTTCAACTGTATTTGCGCTCTTTGACGCAACGTATGAATCTGGATTAATCTCTACTGGAAACACCTGACTTGACTTCTTTGGTGTCGAAGTTTCATTCTCCGGTGGGTTCGCTGAGGAAGGCTCTTGTGGGATTAAGTGTACAGTGTTAAAGGTGACTTGCTTTTTTGGCCGGTTATCTACAGTGTCTTCAAAACTTAACATTACGAACTCCATAGTTTCTTTACAATCTTGTTGCATCCCTCTTTTTATCTCATCATCGGATAATTTACTGAGTGTATTAAATTTTCTTGTCTCCCATGTTTTCTTTAGTTCACTCACATTGTTATATTTTCTAGCAACGACCAGTGCTTGCAGATCCACACATAAAATTTCTGAATCGCTTTTGTTTGTGTATGTTTTTTTATTTAAATCTGCGAATTGTAGTACCTCATTATTTTTACCGTGGATAGCTACGTTGTTTGGCGCTTTTGACGGTTTGCGTCGAAAGTTGACAGTGGGATTTAATATGTGGAAGGGCTTTTCGATATTATAATAGGCACCGTCGTCGTTAAGTTGAAAGGTGGTCCCCTCGGCGAGCACGGGTGTGGGTTGACGGCCGGCCTTCGCAAGTTTGGAACAGTCGCATATCGAGTCGTGGGCTCTCAACATCAGCTGCATCGAAAACCTGAAGACATTAAACAACGTTATTGTTTTTAACGAGTACTTTGTTAGGAATATTTCTAGGGTATGTTTATTCTCAAGAAATCGATTGAAATACCCAGACATGCTAAGGTCAATATTATCGAAATATCAATATTTGTACGAAGAGAAAATATCTGTTTTAACCATAAATTGTAAAACTTTATAACTTATATGCAATAAATTATATTGCAAAATATAAGGATCTCATTTGACTTTTTTCTTTGATACACTTATAATTTATAACATTTGAATTATTTTTCATGATGTAAAGGAGTGCCCGATAAAGGATATTGTACAGTGTTCGTTATGGTTTTAATTAAATAAGTACATGACGAATTGCTTAAAATATAGGTATTTACACGACGGTATTAAGTGGTGATTCATTAAGAAATATTGTAATATAGGTAATTGTTATTGTTTAGAGTAAATGTGAGCCAGTTTATTTCCCTATCTTTACTTATACAACGTCAAGGTAACCAAACCATCATAACTAAGGGTAATAAAGCAAGGTTGACAGGCACGGACGTATTCGTGGCCGTCGAACAGTATATGCGGACTCACTTGATGCGGCAGTGGTCGTCGCACGTGAGGGGCCCGCCTATGGCCACCACGGCCACCGCGGCCAGCGTCGCCAGCACCGGCAGCTGCATCGTTCGCGCTTCGACCTCGACTGGTGCAGCCGCCCAGGGCTCCCTCTCCGGAGCGGCTACTGCTCAGCCGCGGAACGCCCCCGCAGCCCGCGCATGTGCCGTCTGCCGTGGCGCAATCGAACCGCCCGTTCGCTCTGCGCACTTTCAACTGAAACACAAACATCTTCGTTACCTACATGCACCTCTTTTGCGCCATCTCTGTGCGCTCCTTTCTATAATACTTGCAGTTCACGATATTTGCAATATAATCGTCTATTCCTTATTAACAAATAATTATTAAACGCTAATGGGTCTTAAGATATTGAGCGAAGTAAAATAGGACGAGCTCGTTTATGAACCGTATCTACTAACGAAAAACTTAATAGGAAAATACTTCATCTAGATTCTTAACGTCTTTATTTCTATTAAATATTCATTTATATTCATAAATGAATGTAAAATTTAGGGGTGGACCACCCTTAACATTTAGGCGGATGATAAATAAATGTGTACGATATGCACACAAAATTTCACGAAAATCGGTCGAGCCATTTCGGAGGAGTTTAATTACAAGCACCGCGACACGAGAATTTCATATATTAGAAGATAACGCTGTGATGAGCAGAACAGACTAACATCAGCAGTTTTTCTGTATTCGGGCGTTTGTTGACACAAAAGTACACGACACACCAGGGTGGTTAGAATATTGAGTGAATTTTTTGAGGAGCGATAATGTATTCCCCAATGGATGGCGGCGGGGAGGATGGAGGCGCAGGCGCGAGGGCGCTCGCTCGGGGGCCGAGAGGACGGAGCCAGTGCGCCGAGTCGGCGGCGGAGGGTCGGGCGCGCCGCCGCGAGCCATGACCTCCCCCAAGCTGGGCGAGCGGTGCCCCAGCAGCACGGGCGGCGGCGCCAAGCTCACCGGCGACTCCAAGGAGGACTCCCTCGAGAACTCGGTCAGTGGCACGCGCGAACAAAGCCAGCGGCGGGGGCGATTGCACCTCTTAACTATTCGCCAATACTCAACCTTTGGTCCTTTGTTTTTGAGCGAAAGGATCGAGCGGAATAGCGTATTTGGTAAAGCGCGTGCTTTCAATCGAGAGCGCCGAGCTCTATCGCAAGGGGCGCACCAATCCTCATACCACACGCGTCATAACTTGTAAAATGCTTGAATTATAAATCGAACTAGCAAAACATCATTACAAATGATTTAACGGGAACGTGATGTGCAAGCTAAACATTTTGAGATTTAGGCTTTCTAAGGATTTAGATACAGACGTATACTTTTCAATTATAAATGAGTATCGGAGTATGGAATTCATATAATCAATTGTATATAGTTTAATATATACATTATGCATATAATTCTCTAAAAATAAATTAATATTTGTTCTACAGCATGACAAATTCTCAAAGACTTTCCATAACCTAGTTGTCATTATCACAAAACAGATATAAGTGTCCATATTACTGTTTCAAACCAAAACAATGAGAGACCATGTTTATTGCATATTTAATGAAGGGGTGAACGAACACGTCCTTCATTCAACGGAGTTATCCTAATGTATAGGTAATGTATCAGTGGTCAGGCAATCAAAATATCAATACAACGGGAACGTGCTGATGAGATCTCTTAGAGAGAGGCTAAAGTAACGGAATATCTTTCACAGATCAGGGAGTCGGTAAAGTCGGAGCGAGGCGGGAAGGGCGAGGAGGACTGGCGGCGGCGCACCATCATCGTGGAGAAGAAGAACGGCTCCTACGGGTTCACGTTGCAGAGCTACGGGATCCACTACAAGAAGGTACCTACTGTCCGTACGCAAGAATCTAACGCTCATAGCGTTTGCTTTGGTAATAGGTACCTTTGCTTATATAATGATTACCTATTTGATTTCCGCCTTTGGGAAACATGATGAACGTATCTTTCATAGGATAATGTTCAAAATGATACATCATCATCCTCAATCATGTTGTAAGCGGTTTTGGCTGTTTTCTGCGACCAGCCTCCTGCCTGACGTCAACGTTCCTTGGGAAACTAACACCTCGCGTCAGAATAATTATATGTGATTGTACCCACGCTGAAGCCAAAGCCAATAGCTTAGCAACGGCGTCGTCTCTGAGTCATCGCTGATTTAAAAATATTAAAAACTTTGAAAATATTAAAAAAGACAATGGAGGAACATTCCGTATCGATAGCTTAATTATAATTGCTATTTAAGTGTGACTGCAGTTGACGTACGTGTATAGTTATTATTATAGTAACAGGCATCGGTTCGGGTTGTTGCAGTGGGTTCGTGTTTGTTGCAGGAGCAGGAGATCGAGGTGATCACGTACGTGGAGCGTGTGGAGGCGGGGGGCGCGGCGGCGGGGGCGGGGATGCGCGAGGGTGACGTCATCGTGTCCATCAACGGCACGGATGTGGAGCACGCAGAGCACGCGGCCATCGTGGAGGCGATCAACGCTTGCGACGCCAGAATGCGCATCGTGGTCATCTTCGAGGACTGCGTGCGCAAGGTGGAGCTCCACCTTAAGTACATCAACATACAGAGGGCGCTCCAGTCCAAGCTGCGGGAGTTAGAGCAGCTCACGATTAGGGAAAGGCAGGTGTTCGACGCCAATTGGAAGACTCACAGCCTGCCCTCGCAGAAGAAGAAATCCTCCCCGTCAGAGGTGATTTCCGACAGCGAGGAGAACAACGCGGCGGACGCCATCAACGGCGGCTACTGCAGGCCGACGCTCTCCAGCGAAAACGTAACGAACACGAAGCCACCATCGAGTAGTGTTTTTTTGTACCAGTACCTTGACCCGCGGTACGGCACTTGCATCATCCAGCCCAACCCTCGCACGGGCAGTTTCGTGATCACGGTGGGGTCGCCGCGCAACAGGCGCGAGTGCCATCACTGCGTCATCAAGAGCTCCGGCGGCGACTCGCACCGCGCCTCCGAACTGTACAAGAGCAGCAACGGCAACGGGAAACACGGCAAGGTGCATAGAAACAACCACGGCCACGGCTGCGGGCCCTGCATGCCCACTCACAGCAATCAGGACGCCAACAGCCTCGAGGCGTACGACTTGGCGAGTCCGTGCTGCGACCCACATTGCGTGCCCAACACTAGGAAGAAGGTGCGAAGGAAGAAGGAGTGCTCAAAGGAGCACAAGAGAAAAGAAAAATGCCAACAAGTAGACAAGTCTACCCAAAAAACCGAGGGGTGCAGTCACACTCACTCGAAGAAGGTGTGCTCCTCGGGGGGCCATGGCACGGCCCGATACCGCTACCTCGCCACGGAGTCCACGCAGACAAGCCAATGCAGCCTGCAGTCGTTCGCAACGAGCACCGCCACCGCCCCCTGCGACAACTCCGCCTCGAGCTACAGCACCTCGCTCAGCAGCGACACGCTTTTCTGGGACAACGACCGCTCGGAGGCCAAGTCTTCGCCCAAGATTCAGTATCAGAGCCCGCATCAGCACGTGAAGCCCAAGTCGTGGGATAACCTGACGACCAAGGCTTTCGGCGGATACGGATTCGGCTACGGCTACTTGGACACTGCCGCCAAGCACACGAACAGATCGAAGAGCCACGGCCGCAGCTACAGCGGCCGCGGCACCCAGAGCCACCACGAGCACCACCACCACGCGCAGGAGAAGCACCAGCACCGGCAGAACTCTGCCCCCCACCATTACACCGTGTACGGCAAGAGCCACAGCCATTGCCAGCCGACCAAGTCAACGGAGAGCCTCATCGTCGTGCCCAAGTATCAGCTGGAAAGTAGCGGCTCCGAGAGTCGGCTGGCCTGCGAGTGCGTGGACTCCGTGGACTACTACCGCCGCGCGGGCCCCCCCAAGAGCCCCGCCGATACGCGCTCATCGGGCTACTACTCGCAGCGGTTCCTCTACCCCACCCACTCGTACAAGAAGAAGGACTCTAACGTTAGCTCGGAAATAACACGACTATAATCAGGGTCACAGCTCAAACCGTTGCTCGCTCAGACGTTAGCTTTAAATATCTAGAATAATTTACACTGAAATCTTCGAAATAGAACACTGCCGAGATCTGAGTGCAGCGAAGCGCCCCCGTATCTGGGTCGCGATAACGTAAGTTCGTAGATGACGCGTAGACGCTGTGTTAACGATAACCCCAATTTAGACAATAGTGAAAGAGGGCGTATATACATACGTACGAAAACATGGTCGATTTTTGCTAATCTCGCTGGTTTGAGCACAGGTCCAGACCGAACGTCCTCAGAAGCATGGTAGAGAACACCATTACGCGATCACGAATTTTACAAACAAAGCATGATAGCAATGTTTTTAAAAACAATGTCAATATGGTATTTAAATCGCACCACATTTGTACACCGATGACGTTTTTGTATTAACAGAGTTTGATTAGGTTTAGGATTTGTCGTTGGTTGTTGGCTCCCAAGAGGGTGGGAGCCCAACCTCAGCCCTTAATCCGCACAAAGTTAACGATCGTCGTTAATTCGCTTTATACTTGTTGATTTATAGTATTATTCAAATAAATATATTAAGAAAAATATTGTTTCATTGCAAAATAGCACAAACTTTTTATGATAATGACAGTCTATCTATGGCTTGGAAAAAAGTTAAAGTTGAAAACTTGAGATATTGTCAGTCAAGGTAGCTTTTACAACGTAACGAAAATACCTAATACGCGGTTAAACGCAACTAAAGTCTAGGGGGAAGATATAAGTATAAGAAGAGATCATTATTGAAGTTAAATGGATGGACCGCAAGTCCTTTTTTGAAAACGCTATTCTCCCTTTTTGCTATTCTGTCCAATAAGTGTAATAAATTGCGAATAAATTAAACTACTTGAATTTAATTTTTATCTGACGTAATTAGTGATAAACAATGATAAATAATCACACATATTGAACACACAATCTGGATCTTCCTTATCCGAACTGATGTGAATAATAAGCATACTAAGTCATATATACAATACTTTATAAAGAATATGTACTAGTAAAATACGATTGACTCAATTTAGATTTTTAAAGCGCAAAATTTTTTGCAAGATGACTTTTAATGAATACAAATGACACCACAAGCTTGTGAAATTTCATTATAAATAAAAAATTACGGAGCACGTACAAAGAATTAATTGAGAAGCGTTATACTTCTGCGTTTCGTCTGGTGAGTGAGGAGCCCACCCACTTCATTAAAAAGTGGCGGCTGTTGCAAATGTCAATGGGCAGCGGTTATCGCTTAGTATCAGATCAACCGCCAGCTCGTTTGCCACCTTTTGACAAAAAAAAAAGACGGATTGTCTTTGTACTAATCTGTACATAAAGCTTAAATAAATAAAATAAATAAAGCAGTTTCGAACAGTCCAATTGCACCTTCGTAAGAGGAGAATACCTTATCCCGTGTTGCCGTTCGGCCAACTGTGTAGTTTCTTTTAAACCTATAAATATGAGTCAGCTGAAAGGGCTACAGTTTTTGTACAACAATTGAAATCTAAAGAGATACCGAGCCATGTAAGGCGAGGTGGAAATTTTTCTGAAAAGTTGGTTCAGTCGCAACTAGCACGATGATAACATGTATTTCTAAATTATATAGGTACATATAATAATTAAAAATTTATATAAATTACAACTGTTGTCCAGTCTTAACAGTTGCCGAGTGGCCCGCATATTACGCAATAATATAGTTCACAATAGCGTCGCACTATTGCATACATACTGGGGAGAATAGCGTTCGCGAATTCCTCAGAAACTAGAGCACGAGCAAGCCGGGTCGATTTATTGAGATCGGTTATCACTTCCTCGTGTGCGCAGTCAAAGTGTAGCGGAATAGGGTGCTATCACCGAAATTGGGTGGGTGAACTTATATCTGGCGAGAGTTCATCTTGGGTCCGCGGGTCAGGCGGCGGTTGGGCGGCGGCGAGGCGACGGCGCGCCAGAGCGAGCACAGACGGCATGCGCGCACCACACTCACCACTGTCGCCTTGGCTCGGCGTCGCCGCAGCGATACTCGCCGCCGCCGCCGCCGCCGCCCTGCACGGCCCACCGCAGGTGCGCCTCCACAGAACCGGCTCGGTGTCTCAATGTGAGCGTCTAACAAACCTTTCTTTTTCCTTCAGACGTACGTCGTATGCAAGAGGGCCAACTCCCACCTGTGCCTGGCATGGCCCTCGACGGCCGCCCACCGCCCGCCGGAGCGGAGGGCGCACCTGTGCGGGCTAACCGCAGGCCCCCTCGTGCCGCATCGCCGCCAAATGGTAACTTTTAAATAACGCAAACTGCATTGACCGATGCGTGTGAACACACTCCTTAAGGTCCTTAATTTACTCCATTTCGTTTCTTCGTGTTGAAAACTTTTGTATTTTCGCTCTTTTGTTTAGTCAAGCATGCACTTAACCGTTAATGAACCGCATACGAAGCACTAACCATTTTTTCACTTTAAACATGTGGCGTTTAAACACAACTTTGTTATGAGCTTTGCGAGACAAGTACGCTGGTGCGATGTGCTGTCCGTTTTTTGAATGAAAATTATCCAAACATGTGTATTTGATTTTGTCAACATGCGATTGCAAAACCTCTTCACATATAAAAGCTCAATTGAGCGAAAATTCTTTGACTGTCCCTTATCAGCATCCTAAAGGACATGACCGCGTGTATGGTCTATAATAAACGCGCTTTACTATTATAAACTGATAGGAGAAAAGGATGTAAATACATTAATTTGATTGGAAACATTTATGATCCCAAATTCTTTTATTGACGATCACGAAAATGATTTAACTTTATTGTTACCAATTCAGACGTTAAATATTGTACGTAAGATCATATTTATACTTTATATAGAAGATGTGTCGATACATTCTGTCCCAATTGTAAGGCATTTTTATCTGCCGGTTCGACGTAGCGCCGATAAGTTCCTTAGTCAAGGCTGCGCACCCCTTCGTTGACCCGCGCAGTTGCACAATTATAATCTAATGCCGTGCGGAACAATAAAGACTGGATCGATGTCAAGGGCCTTCGGAATGTAACAGTAAGAGTCCTCGCCTCTGCAGGTGAAGCTAGTGGGGTTCGGCGGGGCCAATGGAATCGTAAGGCAGGTGTACTGCGGCGCTGTGGTGGTGGGCGGCGAGGAGTGGGAGTGGCGCCGCCAGCGTGGGGGCGGCGGGCGGCGTGGGCGGCGGCAGGCGCCACCACCACGAGGCCGCTACCGGGGCCAGACGCAGTCCCAGTACCTGGCTATAGAGCGCGGGGCAGGCGACGAGGGCAAGGCGGAGGCGCTCTCCGCCGCAGACTCCTCGAGGGCCAGCGTCAGTGAGTATTTTCTACTTTATTGCTTTGTTTTACTGAGCGGTTATAGAACGCAACCCAAGAAGTTTATGTTAGTAGGTCAAACTCATGAGATCTGACCGTCCCACGAGTTTTTTAGTCTTAAAAAAAAACCTTAGTTAAAGTAATGTAAAGCAATTACTAATTAATGTTAGATGTAGAATTCGAAATCAATTAAGAGATGTTACGTAAATGGGAGTTGTGCGTCCACAACCCCCATTTCCGTGAACCCCTACAGATTTTCATGACAGAGCTAAGCAGGCCCAGTAATGTAAATATTACACTTTGTTACTGAAACACTTGACCCATTAATCTTTTTTATAAATATAAATTAAAAAATCATAATAAAATAAAAAAAGCGTATCCTACATAGCGTGAGGATATTGATTTCATTTTAATGATTCGATAAGCTTATTTTGTTTGGGGGGCTACTCATTATCATTAATTTATTGGTTGCAGGTGGCAACAGCGGTATGGGGCAGGCTCAAAGTCAATCGATGTACGATCCCTCTTGCGACGACTGCTACGGTAGAAACGATGCTGAGATCTTGACTTCAAAAAAAGGACCTTATGGAACAAACGGTAATGCTAACAGCGGATACGTTCCTGGTCGAATCGATGGGCAGACCTGGGCCGAGCCAGGAAACAGAGGCGGCCCTGCAGGAAGCAATCCAAATAGTGGTTCTGTGTTAGGCACCTACAAGCCGTTACAGCCCGGTATTCAGGACTATCAGTACTATGGTGTTCCCGGGAACAATTTTGCTCCAAGTGGAACAGTAGGCATCGGACCTGAACGAAATGAAAATTATTCTCCGGGTCAAGGCGGGATTTCACAAGTATCAATCCCAGGACACGGTGGCTCTAAAGAGCCCTTGCATCCTGACCAATCGTTGACAACAGGAAGTTTCAGACCTGGACAAGCACCTCCTGTGGCAGGATATGGGCCTGGACAGCAGTCATATGCTGGTTACGCACCAAATCAACCTATATCCAGATCAGACCATGATAATTTACCTAATAAATATGGTCCAACCCAAAATAGTGCTTCAGAAAACTATGCGCCGGGTCCGGTTGGGGGCTCAGGAGGTGAAGGTTATGCACCTGGAAGTCTAATAAATCCACCAAGCAGAGAACCTGGAAATTTAGGAAGTATTGGTATCAATAGTGGACCACAACCAAATCTAATTGGTTCAACCGGAAGTTACAATCAACCGAGACCTATAGGAAATGGATACAACCGCGGCGAAGATACACCCCCTGGTAATTACAAGCTTGGAGAGAAGGGCGTGTTTAGTCCAAGCACGGGCGGTAGCCTTCCGAATAGCAATTCCAGGAATATGATATCTGGCGGTCTAGGCCCTGATGTGGGTGGTGGTTTGTATAGCCCTAGCCAGGCCCGTAATCCCAGTGGATTTGGCAGTAATATTATTCCACAAGGCAATGGAAATGCAAATCAAGGGGACGGTCAGAGAAGATATACAGATACACCAGGTCAAATAGGTGGTAAAAATATATTAAGTCAACCTCAAGGCGGAAACTGGCCATTGGCAAGTTACAGTCCTGGAAGTTCACCTTATTTCTGCTGTGTTGTTGGTCCCGATGGCAATTTAATACAAGCAGGAACATCACCATATACTGGAGGTCATGGAGTAAATAACCAATATCCCAACGGCCATAATTTATATGGATACGAAAGACCAATGTTTAGTCCTGGAAGCAATGGCCAAGGGTATGTTCCCGGTCAAAACAATATAATTGCAGGTCAACAAAAGCCTTATGATTCTGTGGGACCAAGTCCTGACACAAACACTTTAAGTAACAATTATGGCCCTAGAAACGGGGTACTTAATGAAAATGGCCACTACAGACCACCGGCTAATTTAGGATCTTTACCTGGCAGTGAACTGGGCTTTAGACCAGGGGGAGGTGGGCTGACGGGGAATGGTAACTACTTAAATCCAAATGCTGGTTCCGGAGACGGAAGAGGCTATCACCCTGGACAGAGTGGGTCTAGAAATGAACAGAATTACAAGCCGGGTGCAGGCATATCAACCGGTATAGGTGTTACTCCTGGTACCGATGGAGGTTATGTAAGGGGCCAAAACGGCGCTCCTTTAATGGGGAACTCAGGTAATGTGGGCGGTTACATACCCGGCCTAATGGGAACCCCGGGCAGTGAAGGTGTTATTGGACCTGGTCACGGCGCAGTACCAAATATAGGAGGAGCCTATGGCCCATTAGCTAACATTGGAAAAAATGTTGACGGGAGTTACAGTCCTGTTCAAAGTACCATTCCAGGTTCTGTGGGCTATAATCCAGAGACTGGCGGGGGGAGCTTTACACCACAACAAAGCGGCAGCCCTGGTAGCAATATCCAGTATGGAATAAACCCACAAGGTGGCCCTGGAGGAATTGGAAGTTATCGTTTGGAGCAAAATCCATCAGGAATCAATGGAAATTATTTATCAGGACCAGTTAATGGGCCAGGCGAAGGCCTAAATTATGAACGGGGAAGCATCTATGGGCCAGGCACAGGATACATACCGGGTCAAGTTAATGGGCGGGTAGATAATAATTTCGGGTCAGGGCCACAAGGTAAACCGGGAACTCGAGAAAGTTACGGAACACTACCACATTCAGGACCCGGAGGTAATAGTTTTAGCACAAATCCAAGCGGTGAACCTGGTAGTATTCAAACTTACGGACCGGGCCAAAATATTGAGCCTGTGAGCACCAGCTTCAGACCAAATCAGAATGGTAATCCTAACAATGTTTATGGGCTTGGAAATGTAGCTCCTGGTCAAGATGCATCAGGTAACATTGGTGGCTATAACCCTAATCAAGCCTCTGGACTAGGAGGAAAAGGAACTTATAGGCCAGATCAAAATGGCATGGGACAAACGGGAAGTTACAGACCAGGGCTCGCAGGACAGCCACCCATTTATGGAGCAGACAATTCAAACAGATATGGTGGTGGGCCCGTGGAAAACGGATATGACCAGAGGGTAAATTATTTTCATATTAATTTTTTTATTTATGAACTTCAATCAATATGTTTTTAAAAGATAGAATTTTTATTATGCACCGGATTTCGAACATGATAAAAATTAAAATTTTTAATATGAGCTAAACTATCAATCATAAGTTATAAAATACTAAATTTTTTTTAAACTAATAGATTCAATTGTCTATGTTTTCAGTACGGAGGACAAAACAAAGAATACAACGGTAAGCAAAAATTCACCTGAAACATATACGATATATGAAAATATGTATATACATATATTAAATGTGAATTTGATTCTAGGCGTCCCACAAAATTTCACGGATCCGAACACAATCGCTGGAGAAGATGATTCCGAGGCCGAAGCCAGCGTTTCCCAAGCTGCCAATGGAACAATAGCAAGTGCATCGTCTAGAGGGGGGAATGACAAGGGTCGAGCACAGACCAATGTTCATGGAACGTATACTGGAAGCGGTTCTTTTTCAGCGCAAGCCCAAATAACTGGAGAAAATAAAGAAGCTGGAAGTGAAGTATCTGGAGGGAAAAAAGGTGCGTCGAGTTCTGCACAGGGCAGCGGTCGAAATAACAAGTCTCAAGCAAATGTTCAACTTGGCTCAGAAACAGGATCTGTGCAAACGCAATCTTTGAGCAATGGGGCTTATCATTCGTCTAATTCTCAAGTACAAGGAAGTATTAAGGGAGGAATGGCAGATGCACAAGCCCGTGGCCCAGGCAGCACTTCATCTCAAGCCCAGATAGGTTTTACGCCGTATAAAGATGGCGATAAAATGCACGACGTGCAGAAGATACCATTTGTCGGTGGTGGAGTGGCATCGGCCCAGTCGAGCGGCCGCACGGGTCAATCCCAGTCGCAACTTCATGGTACTTTCAAGTATGGAATTACTTATAATGGAGCTGCCCAAGCTGGAGGCAGCGTTGATAAAGATGCGGTATTCCCAAATCGTCTTACTTTTGACAAAATTGATGTTTTCGACGAAAACGAAAAAAATATCAACGTTGAAACGGCATCAACCAAAAATCCCAGTACCATGGAGCAATCTCCATCAGTTGATACAGTGCCGCCTCTCGAGTCTGTGCCATCGGAGGAGACGTTGCCTTCGAGCGATAAAACTCCTGCTCTATCGATGGATACAGATGGCACAAGGGTAAAGAATGAGGAGACTTTGAAAAATTCTGAAAGCAGATACTCTAGTCATACTCACCTAGATCACCACATCACAGGCGGCCAACCGGCTCCACCGGCCGCAACAGTCGCCGGAGCCACCCGTTCGTTCCAATCAAATTACGACAGTAACGGACCCGAGTACGAGTATACCACGGACAGGGAGGAAGTTCAACCGGACGAGTACGACGCAGAGGGCGCAGAGGTGGAACAAGGCGAGTACGCCAACTACGACGAGATCCCACGCGACACACTCACCCACCAATCATTACAGAGTCCGAGGAAAACGCTGGAGGTGAAGCAGACCACCGGTGGGAATACGCAGCACATCGTCTTGGCCGGTCTCGACAACCACGACGCGGAAATCACGCAACGGAACTCCGAGCGACCCGACGAGGGCAAGACGTATCAGCCCGGGGAAAGAGTTCCGGGAACGGGCGGCTACACGATCCCCGCCGGCTTCACCGGCAGCGTGCAGTCCGTGGCGTCGAAGGGAAACACGTACGCGGTGGGCTCGAAGGAGTCGCCCTCGCAGGCGCAGACGGTGGCGCTGACGCCGGGCGCGGGCAGGGTGAAGTACTCGCGGCCGGTGGGCGCCGGCAAGCTGCGCTCGCTGCGGCCCGAGGCGCGCGGCGGCCGCTACGTGTCCGTGTCCAAGTCGGTGGCGCGCGACCTGGACGCGGAGGACCACGTGCGCCAGCAGTACTCCCACTCCTACTACACCAAGTCCTCTTCGTGCGGCTTCTTCACTTTCACGTGCACCATGGTGAGCGGCGCCGAGGGCAGGAAGAAGGTCTGCAGGCCCAAGATACCCACCAACCCGGACGGCACGCCCATACGTTGCTAGAACGGTGGCGGTTGGCGTTTACTTTTTGTTTAAACTTTAGATAAAACTGAATATATATGTATTATACTAATTGTTATGTACGTCAAACTGTGACAAATAAGCACCAAATCAGTACAATGATTTTCAATAGCCCATACTTTGTTTAGAATAGAAAAGGATTAGATGGCACAGGTGATGTATTTTAAGGTTTAAGGTCTGTTCATTTATCTACCTATATTAATGTATAACTTAGCAATAAAATTCTATCAAATATTGAAGAGGTTTCTTAGTGTTGAAATTAAAGTTCAAATTTAAAAAGGGTGAAATATCAGTAATGAAAAGCTGACAGATGTATTACGATTTATTGATATATTTTAGGTACATTTTTGAATCGTAAATATAATATATTGATCACATCAATAGGTGAGGTGGATAACAGTTGCACAAATAAATAAATCCGTTGTTCGCCGCCTGCGTTCAACCCACAACTTAGGAGACATCGTGTTACTTTCACTCACAAACAAACACACACACGCACACGCATATAAGTCAATTAAGACAAAAGTCAAGTTAAAGTTAAAATAAATATTGCTATCTGTTCACAAAATATTAAATCGCATAAATCGCACATACTTATTATCTAAACAATTCCCTATTTAATATTTCCCATAGGAATTTTTTTTTCGGTTCGCCATACATTCCATAATTCTTTATCAAATTTAATCATTCAAAAAATATTTTAAGGGTTTTGTTTGCTGCTATCGCTGAAATATACACAAGTCGAATAAAGCTAATGTTCTCTTACAAAACTTTAATTTTAAAAAAATACAAAGGAGGAATGATTATGCCATCTATTGGCAATTTATTTAGATGAAATACATACAGTGAAACTGGTTGTATAAAGAGATTCTTCAAGATACCTTTCGTAATTTAAACGTTATTACGTTACGATCCCACGACTGGTCACGTTACTGTGCGTCAATTTCGCACGGGTCAAATAGTGCATCATTAGTATGCATACAATGACATTCTCTCGGCATGATAGCCGCACTTTCCATGGGTGCGGTGGGGAACGGCGGGCGGCGAGCGAGCGGCACATCACTCACATAGTCACAATTAGAACGCAGTATGAAGTATGACACTCGTACATGTACATAAATAATTATTCGCAATGCCACAACGGACACGGCCGTTCGCTTATGATTTATTTTAAATATTACACTAAATGGACAAGTCTATAACAAGTAAATTCTTGGATCGACGAGTCTACAACAAGATTAGATTAATTCTGATTCATAATATGGAATAAGTTCGAACATTCATAGAAATTTCTGGCTTATATATATAAAAGAAAGGACAGGGGACAATGCATGCAGGGATCGGGCCAACAACTTACAATAAATAGTTTTATATATATTTGTATCTATGTGCGAGATCCACACATGTATCACTCACTGATTAATTAAATATATTTCGAGACTAACACTCACGTACACTAAAATAAATATTACTTCATTAAAGCAAATGCCAAATACTGTTTAATCCGGGGGCCCCCTCCCAATAATGGCCCCTCCGCCCCTCTCTCTCTCTCTTGCCGAACAATTGGAATGTATCATTAAGTACACGTTACATGTTTGTGCAACAAACAACAAACCTCCAAACAACACAATTATGGCAGTCTCCCGTTGGGAGCTCTTAAAATACACTTAACACTATTAATATCTCTTTATGGCCCGCGCTTATCCAAATCATTTTATGGCAAAACTAGTGGAATGATAAGTGTTAGAAACACCACGGATATCTTGAATAGACTTTGAATGAGCAATTGTTCCTTCGGCGGTAGGTGCTCCATTTGGCTACCCGTTGTCTGTGAGAGCGTTAAATATAGAACTTAAAACATACAATAAATACTTAAATCTAATTGAAATCCAGTAGGTGGGTGGACTCGGCGCGAGGAGCCGGCTGGGTTTGCCTCCGCCACTGCTCCATAGGGGGCGACTTATCGCTAGGAGAGTGTACACGGACATACAGACATACGGTTGGTGCTTTACATGCGGGCCACTAAATACCCTCAACTTAACAAGACAACATGAAACGTTGCGTCAGGTGCCCACGGTTGAGCACTAAATAAATTTCTCTAACAATACAACGTAACAAGGAAGTCAAGACGTGCCCGTCATTTCAATTCAAGTTCACACGGATCGCTTTCTCTCACATTTGTACGCGTTCGTTAAATGATTTACTTTTGTAAAGTTCCTTTCGTTAATTACTACATTTCTGACACACAGATTTATCTCGTTGCATGTTCCTATTGGATAATTATAATATCATCAGTGGTTGTAAATCAATCACTCACATTAATATAACGGTTTTAAATTTCTTACAATTATAAATTAAATAGGTCACAAAGCTGCAATAAGAGATCGATAATGATAATAATAGTGACAATGCAATTATTGTAAATCTGTTTTGCACACACGAGCGCTATATATTTTGCGCACACTCACAAGAAACATGAGATCATAGAGAACATAACTCCACAGATTCCCGAAGAGATTCGCCGTTTCGTCGGGAGTCCCCCGCTGATTATCATACTAAAAGGAACGCTCCCTAGCGGCGATGCACTCACAACTACCGCAGGGCTTAGTCTTAAAACGAGTCGCACGCTCACCGCAAGGTGCATACAATATTCACGCACACACGCAACACAATACCGATCGCCGGCGGCCTTCGGGCGACGCACACACGTTTGCATGTATGAGGTCTACGTCCACGTCCAATGCGCCACTAAACGAGAACCTTCGCCCTGGCGGCACCGTTCCGTTGGTAAGCGTCGACAATTGGCGCGTCGGCCATTGTCGGTTATTGTCTCCTCTTGGCGGAATCATATTCACATGAATACGGTAACGGTAACGGGTCCAATCGAGTCTATCGCCAAAAGACGTTTGTGTTTATAAATTTACTTGTGTTGCTACGGTAGCGACGTGGGGTGGCCGGCTTTGTTGAAAAAAAACGTTTATATATAAACATCAATCGATCCTAGGGGACCTGCGGCAACCACGAAAATAACCTTCTTGAGGCGTGAAAATAAAGAAACGTGTCGAGTCGGCACTGACCGTGAATCTACGCTATATTACAAATTGGTCTGACGGCGTCTACTCGATCAGGTCGTGCCAGTGCTGTGGGCGCAGCACGTCGCTCGTGGTCCGCAGCAGCTCCCCGGGGTAGAGTTACAAATTGCGAAACAGCCGCATCACGTATCGCAATGGCGGGGGCGCGAGTTAGGGGGCGGCCCCCTTGAGCCGCTTCAAGCGCTCCTTCTCCAGGTGGTCTACGGGCGGCTCGCGCTCGAACGACACCAGCTCCAGCGCTGGAAAGGTCCGATACATTAGACTGACTCATCGCCAATATATCATTGTTCACAATTATTAATAATATCAATAATAAATATAATTATACAGTACCGTGAAGAAACCCGTTAATTTACGGTACTATATAATTAGATACATAGTAATTCACGATACATACAAATTTAAAAGATACTGTGATACTCTGTGTAGCAGCAGAGGAGCGTGAAATGGACAGTACTCAGTAAAAACCGCTATACAGAAACTAAAATTGTTCCAATCCATGGTTTTCAGTCTGGCCCGCACTCAGAAGCAATTATTGCAAGTGCATTAATGCACTTGCAATAATACCCACAACGTAGGATTGCGAAACTTAAATTATTTATGTATAAACTTTTCATTTATATGTATAGACAGTGTTTATTATACATCTTATGAAGGTAAGTTTTACTAAAGTTAAATTAATGTTTTCTATTTCAAATTTGGTGTTATCTGCTACATTTCCTGTGGTACTGTGACACTTAACGATCAACTGGTGAAAATCTTTAAAGTATAGAAAAAAAATGCTTTACAATGCAGAATTCAAAGCATACCTGGTCTCACCTTGGTTACACGATAAAAGTAAGAAAATTATTGTCTGAATTATAAATTTATTCAAGTGTATAAAAATAATTATGCATATTATATAAAGTGAAGAAAACATCTACATAATTTATTTGATTACAAATACTGATATATTAACTTATTTATTTATGTATTAAGAATTACATGACAGTATTTTTTTTATTCAAAAAGCAAATACGATCTGAACTTATTTTTAAACGCAATGTTTTTAAGTCACGCAGGGAAGGCGAGGGGTTGTTCCAACACTTAGTGGTATTATATTTGAAGTTGTAAGCGGAGGGAAAGGGAAGCTAAAAGCAGTCGACTGGTAGAAGGGATAAAGAAATATAATTGGATGATCTCGTAATATATCTCTCATTTTGATCTTCAGCCCAAATCAACTTATTGTACAGATATAAAGGCTCTTTGTTTTTAATAGTGCCAAATAAAAATGAGGCTCTGTGTATTATATGTAAAATAAATAAATAAATAAATGTGCCTGTGCTGGTTTATTGAAACAAAATGCATTCTGTAGCCTTTGTATTATTTGCCTTGTTCGCGATAATAGACATGGGCCTATGAGACTACTGAGATTCGGAAAGGCTTATTGCGTTAGGCAACGCCTGGTGGGTTTTAAAGTTGAGATCGTTTGGTGTGGTGTATGTCTCATTGGTTCGCTTCGGAGGTACGATGTGGGGGGTTGTGGGTGGTTGTGGGATGTCGCTCACCTGTTTCGGAGAGTGCGGGCCTGTCAGCGAAGAAGTGCCAGGCGGAGAGGTGGTGCGCGTGGGCGTGGGCGTGGGGCTGCGCGGCGGCCGAGGGCTGCGCCACCGGCTCGGTGAGGCGGCGCGACGCCAGCTGCGCGCTCACGTGCCGCGCCAGCGCCGAGCACTTCTCGAAGTTCACCCGGCCCCCGGCCAACCTGCGCGACGCACACACACGCACACGCATCAGACCCTCGTCACGCGTCACGCTAGTGCCGTGCCAACGCCCCGTGCGCACCTGGTGTGCTGCGCCTGGTTGGCGAAGTGCAGGTCGCGGCAGGTGACGGAGAGCAGCGGCACCGCCGTGTCCGGGGGCGCGGCCGCCAGCGCCGCCCGGTACCTGAGCGAAAGCACGCGCATATAACAACGCACTGCACAACTGGCCCATGGCCTTCCAAATGTAAAGTACAAGCAAAATAAAAAGAACTGAAAAAATTTACTACTATAATTAATTATAGTAACATAGTTTAACTGTAGTATGTTTAACCATAAACTAAATGACAATATCGAGGCGTGGATATGTTTCCGGCATTTTGCGTGGGTTTAAAATATTTCCAGGAATATTTTTCACATGTATATCAAGGAAGATGATTGACGAAGAGATTTAAATCGTGATAACATGTGAATGTATTGTTTAAATAAAGGTCCCATCGCGGGGTGAGGTCTAGCAAGACATTTTGTTATTAGCCGTAATAATGAAGGTGGTAGTAGTTAGTTGGCAGCAGCGATGAGTAGTAGTAATAGTATTAATAATAAGGCCGCGTGAACCTCGCGTGGTTGCCGCCGGGCTCGACGCACAGCTCCAGCTGCCTGAGCTGCTGCCCGCACACGGCCGAGGTGCGGCTCCACTGCAACAGTTGCCATGATGCCATGTGAGTGGCTCCATTTACTACATTAGACAGACTAGAGCAATATTAAAGAGATCAATGTGAACCACCTTCTTACTTTAGGACGTGAATATTTGCAAATTTAAGAAAGAAATTTATTTGACATAAAACAGACTGACGTACACAACAATCACTTAAGACAATAAAAATTAGACAAAAAAAAACATAAACATAAAACTCCAATATGCATATTTTCCCTTTTCAATAAAGTACGTCGCGATTCATGTAAAAAAGGACATCACTCAGCAGTATATTGCAGTGAAACTGCAACGCTGATTTTCAGTAATGACCAAAAATTGGGGAATACAGCCCCGAGCCCAAAAAAAAACAATACATTTATCAAAAACAAAAGTAAGAAACTAAAATTATAATAAAATAAAAACTCAAAAAACAACAAAAATGGGAACGTTAACATTAGGATCGAAAATGTATCCACCAATCCATACATGTGTGTGCATCAGGCACGTGCTTACTTTTCAGTTAATGGTACGGTTTTAGTGCGAGAAACGAGAAAAATGAAAGAAAAGGACAAAAAATTTACATAAAATCTTATAAAAAGTAACAAAAAACATATGATGTTATTAAATCAAAAGAAACATGAAACAATAATAAAAAATGTACAAAAAAAAATAACTGGTAGAACGAATGGTCAAGCATACTGTCCCCGTTTATGTTTTTTGCTCAGATAAAAGGTGTTTTTTTAAATGATATCTAAAGGAAAATTTGGTTTTCAAAGACCTTATCGGCGGCGGTATATCATTCCAACAGCGAGTGGCGGCATGCTTGAAACTTCCTCTAAACGCTGACGTTCTAGACTGTGGCAATGAGAGCGGTTTGGCAAAAGATCTGCTAAGATATTTGTAGTAGGTGTAATTTCACCTTAAGTCGGATAAATGCTTGCCTAATTATGATTTGTTACCGTCTTTTTGAGCCTGGCTACGGGCGCCATGTTGAGCGCGCTGATGATGGCCATCAGGGAGTTGAAGTTGCCGAGGTTGAAACACTCGCGCGCCGTCATCACCCACTGCTCCATGACGCGCGCACGCTGCTTACTCTTCAGTGGCTGCAAAGGGGCACAGGGGTCGTTAGCACTCAGAACGCGTCGGCCGAGGGGATGGGGGAGGGAGAGAGATAAAGGGACGGAGAGAGAGAGAGAGAGAGAGGGAGAGAACAGGGGGTGGGGTGTACCTTGACGATGTCCGTGGCGACCAGGTAGCTTAGCCGGTTAAACCAGTCCGCGTAAGCTTCTAGGTTGCGCGTGCTCTTAGCCTCGGCGTGGCGCAGACTGATGGCGGCCGGGTGGGCCGAGTGGGTGGCAGCTGCGGCGGGGGAGGCGGCCGCGGCGGAGGGGAGGGGCGCCGTAGGCGCAAACGCCTGCACGAACTCCTCGGGGCCCACGAACGAGAGCCGGTACAGCTCGATCGTGGTCAGCTGGCTGGCCAGCTCCACCGGCGTCAGGCCCAGGGAGAGGATGTCACCCTGCGGTCATTGCCCTCATCAGTCTCTGCTCACGGTCGCCGGCCATCCTCCGTTGGCGGAAGCTACGCAGTGCTACTGTTTGGGGTTTCATGTTGAAACGGGTCCGTACCCTAGGTCCATTAACACAAGCTACCATGCAACGTGACAGGCGACGAGACCTGTGGCAGCTGGTCGACGGCGCACAGCTGCGGCACGTCGTTCAGGCTCGCCTCGTAGTGCTCGAGCGCCGTGAGCTTGTCCAGGAGGCGCTCCAGGGCGCTGGACACCTCACCGCGCACCCGCGCCATCGGCTCCGCCGCGCACCTGCGCGTCTCACCGTTGTCAAATACACGTGAGAATCTTCGAGCATCACCAGTCACAACTTACACTTTTAAGCTCTGACATAATATGAAACGAAAAAATATCTAAATCTCCCATATGGTTCGCAGCAACACAAAAGTGTAGAACCGAGGATCAGGATGGGGAAGGACAGGATATATACTAAAAGCGATCCGATGCGAATGGTCGTGCGCGCGCACCTCTGCGTGATGCTGCGCACTAGCGCCATGACGCGGTCGTCGCGGAAGTCGTAGGGGAACATCCCCGTCCAGTGGGTGAGCACGCGCACCAGCGCCGCCATCTCGGCCAGCTCCCGCTCCTGGCACTCCTTGGAGTCCGCCTTCGCCTGCCCGCCGCGCTCGCCGTTGCACTGTTCTCAACAAAGCGCACCTCCCCGTTATAAAACATTAACAAATTATTATTTAAATTATACGTAACGTTATTTTAAAACTTCTAGCCAAGAAAATGTTTGTGGCCAACATATGTTTTTATTTTCTCTCGATTGTTTTATATTTGCACTCCAAGATGGCATATGAGCTGCAACGGGGACTGCGAAAAAAGCAGTTGGCAAATTGTGCCCCTGTGATTCCGGCATCTGACCAACTGAAATACATGAGTAGCCCGCAGTTGTATCATATAAAGTGTGCAGACTCACAACTTTGTCGTAGTTCTTAAAGTATCGCTTGCAAAGCCTGGAGAGCAGCTCGTGCGGCTTGAGGAAGAGCCGCGAGCAGAGCAGGAAGGTGAAGGTGAATGTTGGCGAGGCGCCCGGGCGCAGCATCTCCACCAGCGAGTCCAGCGTGGCGCTCACCAGCTGCCCCTCGCGGTATTCCGGCTCCGACCTCTCGCCGCCCGCGCCAATCTGCCCAAATATCGATACATGGCCAACTGCCTCATATGAACCTCCACAATTGCCAATCATTTGTGTATACTAAAATGTTATTAAACAATTTTAAGGTGAACAACATAATAATGTACAAAAAAAATCCAGTACTAATCCAACATCAAAAAAATCTTTGTAGTTTGTATGCTTTCTAAAATTGGCTATTTGAATATTGATGTGAAAACGTGAAAACAGATATAAAAAAAGAAAGTAAAACACCCGCTGCTTGGGAAAGGGCATAGTCCACCACGCGCTCAAACATATTGGCGGACTTCACATATCTACAAAATATTTTTTTTATTATTTCGAAAATATGCAGGTTTCCTCACAATGTTTTTGTTCACCGCTAAGCGAGATAATTCAGCACTTAAAATTAGCAATTTCATTAGTTGCTAGAGTATATCAAATTAAAGGTGAGCCCCTGGATACTGAACTATCACGGCTCTTGAGGCTCTATATGATATGAATTATTAAATTTAATTTTGAGTTACAAGCTTTTAAATATATTTATTTAATGTAATTAAAAGGAACTCTTACAGCAAGAGCCCTTACCTGTGATGGGTCTATTTTCGGCGCAGACACAAAACTAAGTGCTCCATTCATGACAATATGTTTCAAGCCTGACTCTGCTATGAACTTGTTTCCTCTTACCATGGAATAGTAGTCGTCGTTCTAAAAAGTTAAGTATATATATATATATATATTTGATAAAAGCAAAAGTACCAGCAGAAAGAATAGAAGAATAAGTAGTAGCAATAGAAATATGTCATACAAAATAGTTGTAACTTTGATTATTTCAATATTTAACTAAATTATATTTTCATATACTTGTGTGGTTTATTTACATCGTAGTAGGATAATCCGGAGCCGTGGAGATTGGCAGGATCACTATTCAACGGTATTTGGTCCAAGTTAGATGGCACTGAAGCAGATTCACTGGGCCCTTGTGGCACCTTTATGGAACACCCACTACATGACGCCTCATTCAGTTTGCTTGCGTAGTAGTACATAGCCATTCAATTCCTCAATATCCACAAGCACTATGTGCTTCTTTTGAAGCTTTTATGGAAGAATTATCTGAAGGGACCCCATTTGTGTATCTGTAGACTGGTGAAAGAGATATTCCTGATCACACATCACAAAAAACTTAACACTGAAAAATTTTTGTCAATTTTTAATTAACAGTATTACTTTAATATTTAACTAAGATAAAACATAATGAAATAATCGAAAAATTAGATTCTGATGTTGGTTTTTATATAATTTTTTTTTTCTTTTTATAATTAAATGTATTACTAAGAATAATGTATAAAGGATGCATCAGTAATCTACCAAGTGAGTTAATTCAGTGGCACAAACTCTTATTTTTACTACAGTACCAGCTCAGTGGCATAGAATGTGTTAGACGCATTAATATGAATATTTTGACACACTGAAATCAAAGTCCACTCCAATAAAGTCAAAGAAGTTTTGGTACTCCCGTAACGGTTACGTGCTCATTTCACTACATATTTTTAAAATTTAATTAATATAATTATGAATTACTACTGAAATTATGAAGTATTTAGAATTTTAAGGAATTTTATTATGCATATTTTGAAAATTTATTTATATCTGTCTATTGAATAATTTTACAGATTCAAATCTATAAGTCAAAATATGTTAAGAGATGAACCCATTACTGTTCATATGATGTTATGTCTAATATTATATTTTAAAGTCTTCGATGAAGCTGTGAAGATTATCAACTATGTAAAAAGTATGCAAAGATACATTAGTTATCATAATTACAAACACTCGAGCAAATATATTATTTTAAAATATTAAGAAAAAAAAATTTGTATTCATAATGTGATGTAGTCATCACATTGACAAAACTATTAAATTGGAGGATGAAAAAGGATAAATGAAGGGAAAGTGTTTCACTGTCAATAATTTTCTAATAAAATTTTTGTTCATATTTCAACTATACCTTCATTTGTTGTCTATTATTTGATAAGATATATGGGACTCAGTGAGTGTTCAAATCTCAATAATGAAAAATGTAATAGGAATAGAGAATAATAGGTAATTTGTAAATATTTAAATTTCATAGGAATCACTCTAAAAATACATAATTCACATTCACTAATGAATATCTATAATAATTAAATGTAAGTTATTAAAATGGATTCGAACAGATCGATATTGTAACTCGAAATTGGAATAGATTTTGTTTCGTATTTTATTATTGTTACGTAGGTAATAAACAAAAACTTTAGACTAAATCGGGTAACCCAATTTCATTAACAAATTACTATACATATAAACATATATTTAAAATAAAAAATATTTAATTTTCACACAGGGTGTTGACAGAACAATTCTCATTTAGCTAAAAAATAGATGCAGTGAAAGTCCTAGCAAATATCAGTTTTGATAACGATTATTATACTCTCACTAATAGGCTTGTAAAACGAATATTAAAAACTATTCACAACACTTTTCTATAAGACAATTAATAGATCGTTTACCTAATTTGTTATATTGGAAAAAGCGCCAATAAAACACCAAACAAGACCCAAATTCAATAAGTTGCACAGATAGCATATAGTTCTTTGGATATTTCCCTTCCCACAGATGGCATTATCACTGATGCTACTATTTTTGTTTTTTACAAAAAAATAAAATGTATAATGCATTTAATTTTATGGTGAAAAATATATTGTGTGTAAAAAGTTGAATTTACTAGAAAAAAAAAAGATGATTTATATAAAAACATAATAAAAGCAAATAAATAAATGCCTCACGGTACTGCTAAAAGAATGAATAGTCAAAGACAAGTACCTAACGAAAATCTTGAACTACCTCAACTTGTAGATATCAAAATTGATCAAACTATTCGAATTTTAAATTGCGGTTCATTCAACATTCATGTTGCCAAGACAAAATGTAAACAAATAATTAAAAAGCAAGAGTCTAAATTTTAAACTCTTCATATAAACATTAAAAGTTTTAAGTTATATTGAATTTAAAGGATTCCAAGATATTCAACGAAATAATTATAAACAAGAGTTATCGCAATGAGTGAAAATATAAGACGACGGTCTATTCCTACAACTTTGCCAGCGATTGAAACAATTCAAAGAAATGTTCGCACAGTGCCGACAGTTTACAAAAGGTAATTTTTTTTTAATGAATATACACGTGCTGCTAAAATTGATTGGTCTCTTCTAAACTATTTAAATTTTCAAATGTGCTTTTCTTTGTTGCATAGAAAACCACGGGATATACCATTTCATTTGCCGCATAGAAAACTGTTGGATAAAATAGAATTTGTTGAAAAAGAGCCTGAACCTTTGGTAAATAATTTTCTACTATTAAGATTATCAAAAAAAAAAGTATGATTGGTGTTTGTTTGACGTGTTTTAAAAGGTAAACGACATAGTTCCGTAATCAATAGGGAAGACCGTCCATTGTTGTGGGGTCCCCCACTAGATGGACTGACCACCCGTGCAAGTGTGCGGAAAGTGTGGTGAAATACTATGTTGAGTGAACTGAAACAGGCTAAAATGATGATGAGGAGTGATGAGTATTCTTATACGCTAAACGATGATGATGAATTGGATGTTGCTATTTGTCCGATAACCGGATGAATAAGAAATTATTTATTTGTGCAATATCCTTTTTGTAAGTGTTATTAACGAATACACTTTGCTTTGGCGACTTTTTTGAAAGATGTTCATAGATAAATGACCTGCGGGCTTAGGATAAACAATGTGCACGACAACACGACGCCACGCGCTCCTCTGAATATCCGCGACCCATGTTAACAATACATGTTCATTAAAACATGTAGAAAAAGTACGAAATGATTGTCGCCGCTGTGGGAATCGAACCCACGTCTTCGGCATTCGCGGCCTGACGCTCTAGCCACTGAGCTAAACGGCTGATAGCCACAGCGACGAAAACCTTAACCGCCTTCTTTCTACATTGTTATTTAGCATTTGAAGCAATGCTTGGCGCATCTAATTTTTCTACACGTTTTAATATTCAATCTTAAGTGTCAATCTAAAGTTAAAATTAATACATGTTCATGTCGACTGATTAGGTGTGTCACGACATGGACAAGGGCCCTTTAGATGCAAGATCGATTCTCCCTTTGGAGCTTATTTTGAGAGTTGAATCTAACCAGATGGAGTAGTAAGGTCATAATTGCCCTTTAATGACGAGATATTCGTATACTCTCGTCGAATGTTCGGCTACAATGCGGGTATAATACGAGATGTTAACTTTAGCAGCTTTTTTTTTATAGACTGGCTTCAGCGCAGCACAAGAAGAAAGATATACCAAGGAGAAGAAAAATCCAAAGATACAATTGGAACCTATAAGGCATGATGAAGGTGCGTAGGACTATCTGAGTGAGACTTACTTGCGTAAGGTTTGTATTCCAAAATGTGGGACCCTCAAAATACATAGCTGTTTATTTTGTTTAGTGAAAAAGAAAAAAGCTATTAAAATTCGTGAATCACGAAGCATCAGTGACGTCGGAAAAGAGGAACGTACCACAGACGTCCTTAAAATTAAGCCGGAAGTAGCATCGCAGAAAGACGTTATAGAATACGTGAAGAGCAATCCTAATTGCGGCTTTCTCTATATGGTATATGCCGTGGACCCGGAAAACGTATATTTTACGCCTTACTATCTCAAGTGCGTATACTTAATATATACTAAGCCCTTAAATATTTTTTTGAAGTTATACTTATCTCGCGTTAGGGAAAAATGACGATAGTTAATTTTTACGATGCGCGCGTCTACATCGGTACGAAAAACCGACACCCTGAAGTCTATGTATGTTTGCGTGAGAACTGACAACTGTATTCACGATATTTTTTATGCGGTATTTAAATAAAGTTTATTTAACTAGATAATGCGTTATAATAAAACTTTCAATGTATTAAATACCTTTTTTTTGTTAGTGTCGTTTTTTCTACAAATGTAGGTGAATGCCAAAGTTAAGTTTGAAGAGATTTTTATCTTGTTACGCCAAAGAAGTATAACTTCTAATGCGTGTACAAAAGAACACTCATACTTTTTTTTTAATTAAAAGGATCCTTTATCCATTTTAGTACCTCTAATAAAATGTGTGCAGTTTCGTGACAATCGGTTTAGTTTTGGCGTGAAAGCGTAACAAACAAACTTACATTCACATTTATATTAGTAGGGATATAATAGGTTGGGGAAAAAGTTCTTCGCATTTTATATGAAAATTCAAAACATTTTTTAATAAAGTTTGCTTACATTTAATTAAAGTATGTAGGTGCCATTTTGTTCGATAACTTTCTGCCATCTTGTAGGTAGGGACATGATCCCATTGCTATAGAAATCCTGGGGCTTAACAAATAACACATAAAAAAAATGTGCAATGTCAGGACTATACGGCGCATGCATTAACACATCCCAGCCAAACCCTCCTAATTTTTGCTGAGTGGCTAAAGATGTGTGAGGTCTAGCGTAATCATGATGAAAAACCACAACACCCCTTCTGTTAACTAATTTCAGCCGCTTCCTCTCAACTTCTTGCTTTAATCTCATCATTTGTTTGCAGTAGAGTTCAGAATCAGTGATCCTGCCTGGCGGTAACAGCTCATAATGAATAATGCCCTTCTAATCCCAACATACAGCATTACCTTAGAGATAACCCGGGTTTTGCCAGAGTCTGTGAAACCTGACCAGCCTTAGACCACGACCTTTTTCGCACTTTCTTGTCGTACGTGATCCACTTTTCATCACCATTAATCAGGTTTTTCAAAAATGGTTCGGTTTTATTACGTAGTAATAAATAATCACAAATGAGTACACGGTTCATCAGGTTCCTCTCAGTGTGCTCATGAGGCACCCAAATATCGAGCTTTATTGTGTACCCAGCTTTTTTCAAATGCGCCGAAACCGTTTTGTGGTCAATTCCCAGTTTTTCAGTTACATCGAAAGTACTGATATGCCGATCTTACTCCACTTTTTCATAAATGGCATCCATTTTATCCGTAACAGGGCCTCCAGAGCGAGGTGCATCTTTGACATCCAAATTTCCGGATTCAAAAAGCTTAAACCAAAGTACCTGGAGGACCGAGCTTTGCTCGGTTTGTTTATTTTTTTTTGTAAATCGTGTATTTTGGAAATTACATTCAGATACAAATTGTAATTGTGTTGAGTAATGAAATATGCATAATATTTTTTGATCTTACCGACCTAATAATAAGAAAATATGAAGTGGTGTTTTTCACAAAAGGAACAACATTAAAAAAAAAAAAAAAAAAACAAAATCATCTGGATCAACAAAAAATAAAAAATAAAGAAAGCAATGATCTGGAATCGAAAAAAAAGTAAAAAAAAGATTGTGTAAATGGTCGTGACACGAAGCACGGCCGTCTGTTTTGGGGCCGCCCGATTACCGACCGAGCTATTATAAATTTTCTTTTGCGGCGAAATTTACCGTCATATTCGAATGATATTTTTCATTCCCTGAAAACAGGGATAAAAGGACATTTTCTAAAAATGAGACCTAGCTAGATCGATTTTTCGCCCCCGAATCTACGCACATACTAAATTTCATGAAAGTCGCTGGAGCCGTTTCCTAGATTCCATTTATATATATACACGCAGACGCATATATAAAGTAATACATGTACTTAGATACCCACGTAGATACCTTATTATTTAGCCTTAAGTTAAGGAACACTGTAAATTGGTTTAATTATAAGTTCGTTATTATTTTGTTCCTTAATCGCATTCATTCTGTATTTATTTCACATAAAAAATAATAACATATGTGTATAGATTCTAACAAGAATATATAAAAAAATATAACATTGAAGTTTGAAAAGGTAAAATGACAGCAAACAAGGTCTCCATCACATAGAGCTAAAATCCTTATTTCTGCACAGAGTTGTGAAGTTTGAAGACATTGACAAAAAGAACTACTTGACCATCAGCGCCTGTGGCGTAACACACTACACCAACGAGATGGTATTCACAAAACTGGCCGATTGGGAGCAAGAGTACACAATATTCGTGAAGCTTACCGATGTTAGTTCATATAATTGAGGCATTATAAAAATACACTCAGTTCAATATAATTGGCTTGACTCACAGTTGAACTCGGGTTGCTTGTGTTGCAGATTACCTTCTTTAAAGTGTACAGATATTGGAAGGCGCTCTACGTGTGGCGCAAGTCGTTGTTGTTCCGTAAATACAGCCGCACGCGAGACCGCCTCGCCAAGTTGCTGTTCGTCCTCACCCCGCCGCTGGGGCGCGCGCTCCTCGCCGTCCAGGCCATGTGCTGCCAGATGCTCACGGTCTCACTGGCCGATTGCTCCCGCGACATGGATACCCCCTTCTTCTACTTCATTGAAGTGCAGGTAACGAAGAGGTGATCACTGATCGAAAAGTTGGCAGATCCGCACCAATGTGCATTTTGCGAAACAGATGCAACGCATGGAGATGGTGCGCGACCGCCTCCGCGAGTACCGAGCGGTGACGCGCGACGCGCTGGCGACGGCCTCGCACGCCGCTCTCATGCGGCAGGGCTTCACCTACGACGACCGCAACGTGCCCCCCTTGCAGACGGTGCGCGGCCGAGCCGTCGGCGGCATGTCCTACACGCAGAAGGCGAACAAGAGGAAGTATTGCGAGCGGCTCGCGAGGTCCTCCATCCTATTCCCATTTACTTAAACCTTTTAGGTAAACGTATAGGTAATGCACGTGAACTCTTGCCGCTTGAAATGTTCCAGCTTCATCAAGCTGGGCGACTACATGACCAACTACATGCTGCACGGGCTGTCGCAGCGCTCGAACGCGACGATGGCTAGGCTGTTGCGCACGCACGCCGCCTGCACGCCCGCCCCCGCCCTCCTCTCCGGCACCGAGGTCGACCAAGTGCTGGAGCAGATCCCGCGCCAGCTCGACATTTGCAAGGTGACGCACTATGCACTCGCTTATCTGTGATCTGTTATACATTGTGACGAAAAATGTTCAAATGTAATGAAAATACAAAGCTGTTATACGAATATTTGTCGCGGCTATACTATTTTTTTTCAATACTTATACTGAAATCTTTGGTTTTATAGCTTTTCTTAAATATTGAATGTAAAAATGTAGATTATCAGTAAAAATATTAATTTGAAAGTGTTCCTGAAAGGACCAATGCCAATATATGGGTATATATGGAGAAATGTATTTACTTTTTAATTTTATAGCTATATCAATCAATAAGCTTTATTCTAATCCAGGAAACTTCTGAACACATCAATCAACTAATAAATTATAATTTTTTATTATAACGCTTTACCCGGTACCGACCAATATCTCGAATAGAGGGCACGTTTGTCTTTGCGCTACCCTATTGCTGTAGATTTTCTTATGGTTTAATGTCATAAGAAATTCCGTCCATTGCCAGAAACGTGGTAAAATACTTTTTTTGAAAATCCACACCGAAACTAATTAACCCTCAATGATATTCAGAAATTATATAATCCTTTTAGATTTTTTATATAACTTTTGTGCTTGTGGTAGTCACATTTTAAGAGGACTGCCCATTGGCAAATGTACTTTGATACAGTTCATGAGTCCGTCAATATATGTACTTATATTTAGTTTTTATTAAACTGTATTAAAAGTTTAAGTCCTTGTTTATAATAATTTATGCTATCATTTCCGTATTGTTCACTCCCAATAGTGGGCGTTATTTCAAGTGGATGCTTACGTGCTGCCAAGCGGCAAGGTGGAGCTCAACCCCAGCGAAAAGATAATTTCGCAGTACATTACGAAGATTACTGATTATTGGGACGAACTTGTGCGCACTTTTCAGAACTTCTTAAACGAAGAATCTCTGCAGATCTTTGTGCAGCCTACCATTATGGGCAAACAGGTGGAGTGGTCCGCTGGGGAGTCGCCTAATCTCTACTTCCTTATGAATCAAGATGAGACGATGTTAGAAGATATTGCGTACATACCCGAGGCCATCAGAGAGGCTTTTGAGAGCACTACCATGTTTTTGGTAAGGATGAAAACATTTATGGACGACTTTAAAGAGGCGCATGAGATAGACGTTGAGCAGATTAAGATGGAACGAAGCGTAGATGTTTTCAAAGCCTTATGCGACAAGTTAAATAAGCAGATAGAGATGATAGAAGACGTAGTCAGTTTCCAACCTCTCGGAATTATATTCCTCAACCTTACTCCGTTCCAAGAGCTTTTCCGGCCGCAGCCGCGACGACTCTTCGACGTGGTCATGAATACCACTCCCGAGTGAGTTCTTTCGAATAGCCTGCATTTTATTTATAACACTGACAATAGTCGGTCATGGTACGGTTTAAAGGTATGATCGAATTATTGTCTGGCAGCATCGGCCGAGCGAGCATCGACGAGATTCTGATGGGCATCGAAAGCATCCAAGCAGACATAACCAGGGAGCCGGACTCGGCGGCCGAGCTTGTGGCTTACAACAGCTTGTTGGACGGGCTGGAGGGCCGCGTGAGCTCCCTCGAGGAGCGCTTGGAGTACCTGCGCGAGCTTTACGACCTTATGTCCGAGTTTAACATCCCCGTGCCCCCCGACGACATGAACGATTACTTGGGTGAGACTAGTTTCACTAGCGATACAATCAAATTAAAAAGAAATGAGTCATGATGTCATGCGTGTCGTGGTGCGTGTGGTGTCGGGGCAGGTCTGAGCGTGGCGCTGGGCACGCTGCGCACCGGCGTGGACGCGCGCCTCGAGACGCGCCCGAGGCTGGCGGGCCTGTTCGCCACGCACGTGGGCCACGACCTGATGCAGCTCATGCACGACGTCAACGCGCTACGCGACGAGGTCGCCGTGAGTCATCATCACCAACATTGCCCCCGTTACACTCGACTAACCGACATGACAGCGCTACTAAAGGGAGGGCACATTTTCGCATATGATTAGTGAAAGCAATAATTGTATATCTCCTCACCTACACTTATACATTGATGTCCAGCAACCATGGCTGTACGACGAGTCGTCGGATATGGGCAAGGCGCTCGAGACTTTAGACGACCTGATGGAGAAGCTGATGGCCTGCTCAGCGAGGGACAAGCAGATACGCGAGTGGCAGAAGATATTCAAGGTGAGGACTTAAGGAGGCGCACCGTTCAGACAATGGAAAATACACCAGTGTTACTACGGGGCCTCCAATACTAGCCGTTCCTACTACTAAATTTTGCAATTACACCTTGTATATTAAATATTGCATAAAAATGTAGGTACACGTGATGACCCTGTTTGAAATAAATGTTGAACCTGCAACCCTTACTGTATTCTCTAATGAAGTAAAAATACTCGCATTAATGTAATAGGCAAGGTAATGGCAATTGGCCATTGGATGCATTCTTTAAACGTTTTCTACGAACAAACAACTTCTAATTATCTCTTCACTGAGAAGTAGACATGACTTTTTACTTGGTAATTCTTATTTTGATTACGTTTCTTTATCGTTTAAAAATATTTATATATACCATTGCGGAATATCTTGACGACGCCTATTTGTGGAGTAAATACTGTTGATATTCACGTAGGCTAAAGTAAGATTTATATCTGTCCTATTATATTGTAAACTAATCGTTTTAAAAAAAAGAGCAACTGTTGAGTTTCTTGCCGGTTTCTTCTCAACAGAAACTGTTTTCCGAACCGGTGGTAGCTTACTTACGAACGTATTAATTTTTATGTAAAATGTTGACGTTTCATAAGAACACGCAAGCGTCTATGTCAATAAATATATTTTTGATTTTGATTTAAATTTTTCAGTGCAAAAAGGATGTGTTTCTATTCTAGACCTTACATAATAAATTAATAAATAAAAGCAAAGATCTGTCCATGTGCAGATCCCGCCGTCGCGACTGGATCAACTGGATGAGGCCATTAATGACGTGAAACTGAGACAGCTTCTCTGGAAATCGTCTAAAGAGTGGGACGAGGTCTACCAGAGTTGGTGAGCCCCTTTTAACTTATCGCCAAATGCGTGATAACTAGTGTTACCTTCTATGGCGTAAAACAACTAACCTCGGTACGAAAACATTCATTTGGCTAAAGAATGGGAAAGCATTCCGCAAGAAACAATATGAGACATACGCCCGGATTCTGAAATACTGATCATCGTAGAAATTAACTAATCAGCTGTCAAATGGCTTTTCAAATGTCATTTGAGTTGCCAAAATGATGATTTAACTCTTTGATTTGATCATTCTGACATTACATACAGAATATTTATTAATTTGTGAATACTTTTACCTGTCAGTACGTTTATGTGATAGTGCCAACAGTCTTCGCTGTTGCAAGAATGGGTATATCCCCTACCGGGGAAGTTCTATGATCTTGCAGAAGTAGACGTGTTTTACTTCTGCTTTTCGTTTTGCAAGTGAGGTACCCCGAGCCCACTTTATTAAATGGTAGCAATGGATCTGCAACCAAACTGGTGTTGCGAATGTCCATGGGCAGTAATCACTTAACATCAAGTGAGAACAAAAGCTCACTTACCACCTTCTCACATTAAAAAAAGCCACACCCAGTCAGAATGTCAGCTTCAATTATTTGCCATTGTAAAGAATTTACTTTAAGAAACTGAAAATAGAATCCGCCATTGCACAATATTGGTGAAGTAAGGTTTATTAGAAAATCTAAAGGAACACGAACTGGGACTCACTGGGACTCACTGGGAGGGAAATAAAAAAAGAATTAAGTTTTTGTTTACTATTCCTAACAACTAACCAAATCATAAAGCAAATTCAAGAATATCCTAAAATTTTGAAAATGTAGCTATAGCGTATTTTAGGAATTTAACAACGCCATCTAGTTCTGGCGCAGAACTAATTTCATGTCCGTAACTTACCTACGGTGAGGTTCAATTCTATCAATAATTTAGGAATTCATTAAGTATCACAATATATAGTTAGTATGTTATTTGGAAACTAACTATTATTTTGAAACTGAAAATTGAAGTCACCATACTAAACATTTTATCGCCGATAGCACATTTTGTATGGATCTTTATTTTTTCGTATTGCGAACTATGGCATTTAAAAAATTAAATTTGCGTTGAAACTGAGCAATTGGCAATGAAACCAAGTTTGAATTTTGCACAGAAGTTTTCTTTATATACTTTCCAGTAATTGGCTAAGTGTGATACACATTGAAACTTGTAAAAAAAGTGCGAAAAGATTGTCGCGACATCTCTTGCTGGAATTATCGTTTTAAAACGATATTCGTAATTGTTTGTATGCTGGAAAGGATATATCAATGGATGCACTAAGCATTGTTCCAAATGCTAAAAAAACAATGTAGATAAAAAACGTTAAGAATTTCATCGGTGTGGCAATCAGCCGTTTAGCTTAATTGGTAAAGCGTCAGGCCGCGAATGTAGAAGACGTGGGTTCGACAGCGGCGACAATCTTTTCGTACTTACTTTTTCTACAAACTTTAATGTGATAACACAGTTTGCGGTTGCACTTTTTGAATATATTAGTACTGGCATATCTTTCGTTTAAGTGAACCAATTGCGATGAAACAAAGCCTATATGTTGCTCCAAGCGAAGCTTAAGTAACCACTGAAAATTATATCAAAACCCGGACATACAGAAATCAAATAGACAGACAGACAAGTTTTTCTTTTTGTGATATCCTATTTTTTTATTTACATTTTTTTTTGTTTTTAT